TGACATGACTAAAGAATGTCGATTTTCAGCTGACATGGTGTTACATAACCACCCCACTGCACACGAACAAAAAAGTTAGTTGTGTATCCTTTACAGGATGTTGCAGAACCAAACTCAGCATTTTGTGTGTGTGTGTGTGGCTGTTTTGGTTTTTCTAGGCAAATTTTATGTTCAGTAGTTTGCCATTGTCTCAAAATGGTCCGCTCTCCATACTGTTGTTGAAACTAACGCAAAGCAAAAAATCATCTACAGCTAGGACCGAACCAAACACCACAGCATTACGAAGCGCATACCTAACGCCTAAGCCACAGACACCAGCATGTCGTAAAAGCTGACCAGTCAGGGTTGTTTCTGAGACTGAGTGGATCTGCCTGAACCAATAGTCAGCACACAAATAAGTTAGAACTGTAAAATGGATGTGCATACAAAACTCAAGTTCTGGAACAAGACCAGAAGTGGATAAGCAACCATAACTTTCAGTCGAGAGTTTACAGCTGGTGAATGCAAAGAAGAAGTAAATTCTCGTTAAGGGATCAAGATTTTTGTGTGTCGGCTACAAATAAACATTCTGACCTGCACATTTTGTGGCGACTGCACCAGCCATATGGCCTCAATCCTGAGGCTCATAAACTCCCTGTTGGACACAGCTAAAAGTGGTTAACAGACTGTAGTCAGTTTATTTCTCAGTGGATTGAATCACTTTGTAGAGGTTATGTATTGAATCTCCTTCTACTGTCAACAATCTCTGAATTTGGGTGCAATAATAAATATGACAAAACATGATAATTTCCATTCATTTATTAGATATCCCCTTATCAGATACTACATAAATTCTACAAATACATACCACTGTTTAAACAATCGTAATATAAAAACTGTTGTTGATATTTACAAATAAAACAAAGCATAAATAAGTTACAATGCCTTAGACACACTGATGAGTAAGCCAGTCTCCAAAGAATACAATATCCTGTAAATCATGTTTAATATAATCTATAGTGGCTGTCTGGTCTTGAGGCATGGCATCTGCCTCGAGTGCTGGAGGTCCTGGGTTCAAGCCCCAGTGAAGGCTAGGATATTTTCACACAGACTTAAGTAATTTCCCCTGGTCTCTGGGTAGTAAGACTGGACGCCCGTGTGTAAAAAAAAATCACTTGGCAGTTAAAAAAAGAAAAAGAATAGCTTAACAGCGCTGCCTGGGCAAAATTTGGAGTTGAAAATCTACTCAAAGTATTTCAAGATCCTCACTGGTGCTACAGAGTTTGTGCACTGCGCTGAGATTCTTTGGACTTAGGCTTGAGTCAGAAGTAGAACAGAGCACTTATGGGTTACTACTACACTTGTGCCATGATGTTGATCTGTCATATAAACCTAATATAATCTTTTAGTTATGCAAGAAGACAGAAGGAAAATAGTCACGATAGAAAGGAAATGTTTACATACTATGCTAGATGTAACGAGAAAAAACTGACTTAGGAACAATGATATCAGGAGGAGAGTCGGCACACAGGATTACTACAAAACTTTATGAAATTTTTTGGTCATGTAACAAGATTGGCATCATACAGGGCATCACAGAGAGCAATGTTATACAGATACAGCAGAGCCAGAGGTCGACCACGCAGAAGATGGACAGCAAAAATATCAGAGACACCGAAAAGTTCTTTATACGAAGCGAACTGAAGGGCCCGTTCCAGAGATCTCTTTCTGCCCTGACACCGTAAGGCAGAGTAAAGAAGAAGAAAGAAGAAGCACACACATGTCAGTGTAACTTTCAAACATGCTGAAAAAGATGAAGAAAGAGTTGCAAGCATCGATTTAGAGGTTTCTCGTAGTTAGCACCCGTGTATCTTTTCTCAGGGTCATGCAGAAGTGTTTAGAAATGAACATGCAGACAGCCAGGCTGATGCTGCTTCACTGGGTGGTGAACTGATGCACAGCAAGCTAGAGGTGACCAAGGCCCTTTGGGAGCAAGTGAACAATGCAGAAGTGGGATTGGATCATTGCAGTCTGGAGAGAATGGTACAGCTGAGAGTGCCCAGGGGATCAGGCTGACTCTTCAGCCATGAAAAGGCAAGATGAACATATAATTGAACTGAAACTTTTTGCTGTCATCCAAGATTTAAATGTTTCTCTTCTTTTTTTTTTTAAACTGATCTTTACCTATAAAATTTGCCAGTTGTTTCTATGCTTTAAGTAGCAACAAATGTCTCAAACAAATATAGAAATCTAGTAAACAGGTATCATACTCAAGAAAATTGAACCAAATTGAAACAATAAGCAATAAGGTAGAATATAATAAAGGAAAATGACAGACCAAGTCACAGATCTGATCACTCTCACTGCACTTTATTAAACAAAACAAAAAAAAAACAAAAAAAAAGGTATCTGGTCAGCAGAAGGAGACATGAACAATCAATAATAAGCAACAATTATCTTCAGAAAATAGCACTGTACATTACAATTATTTATGACAATATAACAATATAATTTATTTCTTCTCAATAAAGTGTATTCAATAAGTAGGACAATTTCAAAATGAAGTGTCCCATAAGTTCAGCAATATAAAATGCATCATATGATGCAGGGTAAACAGTTTTTGTAATGTATTACAAATTACGCCGACGCACACTGAAATATACAGAAGCAATCACGCTAGATATGGGTAATCTTTTGCTAAGCAGACTGAAAGACGTACTGGTAGTTTAAAACTACCACGATCAGACATCGAAACAATGGGCTGTGTGTTGTCTTAATTTTGTAGTATGCACCTGGTGAGAGATACAACAAAATACACCAGACAATAAACTGTGTGATGTATTATGTGGCTCACATTATTAAAAATAATATGGTGATGAGTGGCCTGGGAAGAGAGGAAGAGGAAGGACAAAGAGAAGATGGGTGCAGGATGTGGCAGATGGGTGTATCAGATACAGGACATCTTGCTTGTGAGGTTTTCCAGAGGGTTGTTATGGAAGCAAGGTTCTGCAAAGGACATGCTACTGACTGACTGACTGACTGATGGGCTAGTGACATGGCACTGGAGCAGAATCATGGACTGTAGTTATAAACCTTCACCATGACAACCAAGGTCATATGGCTGTTCTTCATTGTTGTTGTTGGCACATTTCCGTCTTATCAGACGATAGTCTAATTCTGTACTCTGAGGAGGCGTGGTACTCACAGCCCATGTTGATGGCGAGTGCGACTAGCAAGACCAGCCCATGCAATTTCAGGATCATTGTTGCCATCAGCATAAAGGAATCTGCATACCACGAATCTGTATACTACTAACATCCAAATATTTTTGGGTTGCCATCCCTTTGCACTTTAAGCCACATATTTCCAGTGTTTACACTGGCATAGTCTTTACTATGCCTCCGAAAGCTATTGAATGTTCACTGGTCGGACTTTAGGTCCAATACATCTATAAGACAGGAAACAAAACAAAAATATGTGTCTGATTTTATTAGAAAGCGTCGCTGGAATTACATCGGTCACGTACTCAGAATGGACATACAGAGACTTCCCCACCAAGCCTTCATATGGTCACCAGAGGGTAAAAGAAAACAGGGAAGACCAAAAGAAACTCTCCGTAGAACCATCACAAGGGAGAGCTCAACCATAGGTCTCAGTCGCACTCAAGACCTACATCAAGTGGCAAAGAACCGACAGACGTGGAAAGCTATGACCTCTGCCCTATGCGCCATCTTTGGCACAAGAGGAATAACTAACTAACTAACTAAGTCTTTACTGTCAGTATTTACCACTTTCTGGGGCAGTGCAGGATGACTTGAGCCTTACGATTTAAGGCTGCATGACTTGTGCAGTCATCACGGACTACAAATCAGAATTTTATTTTTGCCCCGACAGGGAAAAACCCAACATCATGCCCAGGATTTGAATATAGATATCCAAAATGAGAACCAGTATTCCTAATCGCTCAGTCAGCCTTTTAACTGTTAAATCAAAAATAAACGCTGAAGAAGAAGACTAAAAATAAAAATCTCTGTGATTATGTCCACTCATATGGGTACTGCCACCCACTATGGAAACCACTGTCCAGCACATGTAACTCTTTCACAGTACCCCTCACAATTTCATTAAACAAACAAAAAATTAACTAAACAAATGACCACAGGCAAAGTAAAGAACATGGCAAAACCACATCCTGGGTGGCTTGCATATGGTAATCTGTCTTATGCATTTCTGTTATAAACTCAGCTGAAAATACAAATCTCTGTGAATGTGTTGTTCTTATGTGAAAGTAATCACAGGTGCAACTTCATCTCAAACGGGTCACCAGACAGCTGCTCTGTTCCTGTGCCAACAACAACAAAGAACTGTGACAAAAACTGACACAGACTGCAGTCTTGGCAAGTCCAACATGCGCATTAAAAGCATGAGACAGCAGTCAGATGTGTCCCAAGATTAGTCTATAAAATGTCGGTCTAGCCCTATATGCCTTGAAGACATGGAAAAGGGTCCTTTACTTACTTTTAGAAGTGCCAATACAAAGTCTTTCACTAGAAATGCAGGTCATCGTCGATGAAAGCAGCAGTTACAAATTATCAGTAGTTGCACATGCATTTAATTCCACAAGGCATCACCAGTTCTTTGGCAACAGGCCACACGCCATTTTCTGAATCTGTAGTTTACAATACAAACCTCTCTGGGCACAGTCAAAAAGCATTCCAAATTATATCCGTAACTCGGTGTCAAGCCATGCAATCAACTCAGTAGCCGGGCGACAGAACTATATCCTTTCAGTCACATATGGAGGAAAATGTAGCTAACTACTGTCAGAAGCAAAAACTTGCCAGGACTGAAAATCAGTAAACACGCCTATCCACCATATTGACCGGAAGTATAGAGGGACCATGTCACCACTGAAATGAGCCTCTGTTCCATACATTTAACTGACTCACGGTATCTCAAACTCAAGCACACAGAATTAACTACACTAATTGCCATCGGCAAAAAGAATGTACTTGGCAAAATCACGTTTCTGGTGGTTTGGGCTGGTAATCTGACGGTGGTCTGGGGTGGTAATCTGAATCATGTATTTCTGGCTGATATGTCATCATCACCACTAGCACCCACAGGTGAAGCAAAACCTAAACAGAAGATACGTCATTTGTATGTTACAACTGACGATATATTTTTTCAGCAAAGAAGACTTAAACAACAGACTATAATTTATTGCCCTGTAACAATCTAATATAATGAAGCAAACAAATTATCCTTCCAAGTGAAACAAAATTTAAAAAAAAACTCAGAAGTAACCATATGTTTTACCCGGTAAAATGCATGTTCATGACCATGTCTTTTTGTCTGCACAAATCTGGATGAAAGGGATTTATTGATGTAGCATTAATGATACGTAGCACTGTTCAATTCACCAATGCATACAGAATTTAGACTGCGCTGCCCTTATTTACAATGTAGCCAGAGTTCAATTTGTGGCATGCAATGGACCAATGGTGATCTCTTCTATGGCACTCCTTCTGTATACATTGCTACTGGTGCATTATTTTCCAGCTGGTCCATATGCTCATTACCTTTCACTTGTGACCCTTTGAAAAATAAAGTTTGTTCATTCGTTCGCTCACTCCAGCGTGTATGGGGAGAGGGACTTCTGAATGGTGTGCTCACCATCATGTAACCAGTCCTTTTAACAACATCCCTCTCATCAACAGTAAGCCAGAAAACCACTCAGCACTTGGCCAACTGTCCTACTTTGTAAATTTTTACACCCAGGCTGTCTTTGAAATCCTGTGTTCAACATCAAGCTGGTCAACCCCTGCCTCTTATCTCAGGAACCATAACCTACCTTGCTGCTCTCTGCAATGCAATTATGACAGTTTTATATGGCCGAAGCATTATCTTTTCTTAGAAACTTTACACCTATGCTGTCTTTGATTTCCTGTGTTCACCGCAATGCTGGTCAACCTCTGCTTCTTATTCCAGGAACCAAAAGGTCCCTTACTGCTCTCTCCATGCCATTATGACATTTTATATAATCAAAGTATTTTCTTTTCTGAGAAACAATAAAAGTGTTTCGCTAAAAATAAGATCTAACCTGAAAATAATCCCTAGCGTGATTTTTCAGGATGCTCACAATATAAGCCATACCCATAAACAAACGCCCTAGGTAAGATCATCAGCCAGATGGACAGATGGCATTTGTCCATTGAAACATACACTGACTTATTTAATTTTAAAGGGATGAATGTATACATTAATACAAATAAATGATATCATTGACATTAGTGCTTGAATAAATGTATAAATGTGGACTTGAATAAATGTATAAATATGGACTTGAATACATGTATGTTGTTTTACCTTAAAAAAAAAAAAAGGAGACATTCTCTAAAAATAATCTAAAGTGTCCTTTGGAGAAAAAAAAATTAATATAAGACCAGGTCTTAGGAGAAACACTGTATCTATGCGATGACTGCCAGCTGGGATTTTATACAGCACATTCAAAGTCATCTAAGACTGACCTGTGTATTCTGCTGCTTGTGTCAGTGAGGATTTAGAGGTGGCTATGTAAACATAGCGGAGACGGACTTTTCTTCAAATATGACCTTGGCTCCCAGGTCGACCCAGCCTTGAGTGGGTACAGGGTGCAATCCCGGGAAGTAGAGGCGGCCGGCGTGATGCTGACCACATCACCCATCTTGTGCCGTTGGTCTATAAAAATATAGGTCTAGCCCTATATGCCCTATACGCCTAAAGGCATGGAAAGGGTCCTTTACTTTTACTTTTTTATGTAAACATTGACAACTTACTTACCATATATACAATAACAGAGATTTTCAATATATACAATAACAACTTACCATAAATGCAATAACAAAGACTTACTTACCATTTATACAATAACAAAGACTTATTTACTTTACTTACCATATATACAATAACAACCTACCAAATATACAATAACAACTTATCCCATATACAATAACAACTTACCATATACACAATAACAAAGACTCTGGCTGCTGGATATCGCCTCAGAAAGACCCCTAGGCGAATGCTGTAAAAAAGTGTGTTTAAAAAGCTGTTCAATATACACTTACTTTAAAAAAAAAATTATAATACTGAGCTTCTGACAAAGAAAAAAAGAGATAAGCAAAATATTTTGGCCATAATAAAAGACACAACACTTTAAAAAACTTAACTGGAGGGAAAAGGGGAAACAAATGATGGCAAGAGCAAGAGGCAGAGAAGAAACAGATTGTGCTGGAGATCAATTGCAGCAAACTTTCATTGTGGAGAGGGTACCTGATAAATATGCACAAGCCAAAGCACCTATAAAACAGATAGACCCAAGCAGTTCCTGCAACATCCAAACTTCACTGGCATATTTACATTTTCCCACTGTGTTAGTTATGTTGCAATAAAAATATAACAAACCCTCAAACAAGGACACAACAATGATGTATAAATAATACATTTGTCATCATCAACTGGCATCTGTGGCTTAGGCGTTGAAAACGAGCTTCGTGATGCCGGGTTCGATCCCAGCTGCAGGCTGCGCTTTGTGTTGGTTTTGACAGTGGTATTGAGAGGCCGACCAACCAGAAAGCAATGGCAAACTAATGGATGTAAATTTTCCTAGAAAAACCACAACAGCCAAAAAATGCTTAAACAATCTTCAGCATGCACACAAATATTAAGTAAAGTAAGTAAAGGACCCTCTTCCAAGCTTTCAAGCGTATTGGGCATATAGGGCTAGAACTATATTTTATAGCCAATTGGCACTTTGCGGGTGTTGTGGTCGGCAACACATCAGCCAGTTTTACTTCTCAGGACTTGTACCTGGTACACACTCAAGGCTGGGAGCCAAAAGCATTTTTATTTTTTAAAAGTTTGGCTCCGGTATTATATGAATGCTGGTGTTAGGCCACAGGTTGTTTTAAAAATACAACTTCTTCTTCTCCTTTTTTTTCATAGGTTCGGTTGTGACACCTTTCTCTGAACTTCAGCCTGGATTCTTAAAAACTTTAGCATGTTTTTTTTTTTTTTGGTCTGTTTGTTAGGAAACTCTTAATTAGGAGTTTGCTTAAATCTGATGTCTTGCGCTGAAGAGTGCAGATATCACAGCCTAGCTGTAAACCCTAATATAAGTTGCCAACCGCATTTTTATAACGAACGCAGAAGAAGTTAGAGAATGGAAGCTATGGATAAACATGACAGTCCATGCCAGGTGGCAAGGCATTTCATAATGATAATGACAACAAACAGTACATTTTGTTGGGAATGTAAACCAAAAAATAACGAAGGTACCTGAAACCATCAATTGAATTGGCAGCTCTTTTCATTCTTCTTGTAACTTCATGATCAGTTGGGACCTCTCGCAGGAACAAAGGTAATCTCTGCCTCACTAGGTGCAGGGAAAATAGACAATAGATGTCAATTATGGTTTATAAATTTAAAAAAAAACTGATTTGTCACGTCTTCTCTGTCAGACAATAAATGAATTAAAAACATACCTAGAAAGTTTGATGAGAGGAAAGACATACACAAATATATACGGAAATGTTCTGATGAAAATCAAAGTCTTTATCAATATTTAAAAAAAAAAAACAGTAGGAATTCAGAAATACAAAAATAGCCACACCAGACACACACAAATGTTAACACAGTAATCGCCCAGTAGTGAGTAATCGCCCAGTAGTGAACTGATCTACGATATCTGAGGTCTTTGAATACAATACGATAGCGATGTGTTGCATAGAGTTTTCAAAATAACAACCTTTATAAACATTTTGATACTAAAATTATTCAGACACGAAGATATGCAGAACTGGCCTTAACATCCCTACGTCCCATGAGAGAGTGCAGCATATATCCCACAAGAAAGTGCAGCCTACACCCAGTTCTGCATGTTCTGGAACCGTTAAAAGTGCTCACGTTCTGTAATATAGAACACGCAATATTGCTGGCCGGTGACCACAAATAGTAAAATACTGCTTGTTGTTGGCCGGTCACTAAGCTTGACACCCCTGTAACATAGCACAAGCCCTGCAATACAGCATTTTATGAATGGGAAGGGAAGTCGCTCTCTTTCTGGCCCCAAAAACGTGAGTTGTAATTTATTTTCTATGCTCCTATTTTACTTTATATAATTTTATTTCATATTATTTTATTCTCATTCTTACCAGTACTAGTTATGGACCATTAACATTTGCACTTCTACTATTCTTTTATTCCCACTATTATATATTATCACTATTACTTTTATGTTAATTTTATGCCTATCCTTTATTTTATATATTCCACATCATCTTTTTATAGTTTCTCACGTGATCCCCCCCCCCCTCCCCCCCCCCCACCTTTCCAGTGGGAGCTGGTGGTTGGAGTACTCTCCCCTTTGTTATTGCTGTTTAGTTAGTTCATGTAGAAAAAGGCCCTGGCTGAGACATCGATTTGTGTGTTTTCGCACGTTGTTCTGCTTCCCCATTTTCGTTAAACTTTTTAGTCACAGTTCAGTGGATTCATTTCTTGGTATTAACTTGACTGCAGTCACCCCTGTTTTCACCAATCCTCAAGGAACAAAACAGGGGCCTCTCAGCTGAAATGCTATAGAAAGATTCTCAGAATACTTTGGACAAAGAATTAAAAAAATACACCTTAAAAGATCTGAAAATCAAGGAAGACTGGCTATTAAACAACACCTTGTCTCAGAAACTGAAATACTTTGGCCATATTAAGCATCACACTGGACAAGAAAAGACAACAGCAGAAAGCATGGTACCAGGAAGGACGGGAAAAGGCCAAATGGCACAAAGATATGCAGAGGATATAAGTGACACTTGAGGCAGGAAAATGCACAAGGTGGGAGGGCTGGCAAGAGAGTGAGTTTCTTTTTAGGCAGTCCTTGATGACATAGCAAATTCTGCAAATGCTACAGGATGATGATGTTTTACTTAAAAGCATTTTAACTGATGAAGCATTTTTCAAAACTCCCTCTTATATAAGTCAAAGACATACCTGTAAAGAAACTTGCTGAATAAGTTTGGGGGAAAAAAAGACATTTTTAGAATTAAACAAGATAAATGCATGACTATTAACAACTGTACACTGCCAATGTCGGCATCTAAAGGCTTAGACATTGCAAACGCACTTCGTAATGCTGGGGTGCTGGGTTTGATCCCAGCTGCGAATGTGTTTTTGTTTTGTTTTTGTTTGCGTTGGTCTCCACAGTGGCACCGAGAGCTGGACGTTCAGAAAACAATGGCAAACTACTGAATGTAAAATATGCCCAGAAAAACCATGCAATGTCCTGCAAAGGATACACAACTAACTTTAACACTGCCAATAGTGGAAATAATAAAAGCCAAAGCAAGCTACCCAATATTCATAAAAACAAATGTTGGTTTATGATATGTATCATCATCCATGCATATTTTAAATGATAACAATACAAACAATGAGTTTGGTCAGAATATTGCAGATGCAACCCACCTATACTGAAGTATATATGATGAGAACATTACATTTCATAGCTAACAAGTGTTTTTCCGTTATTACTCCATTAAAGAATTTAGCAAACAAAGGATGGGCAGACAGATCATTATGGTTTGAGGAGAATGGCGCTGCGAGAAGTTACCAGGGGATGTGGCCGACGCTCAGCACTCAGAGGAAGGATGAGACGGATATACAATCAGAAGGCTACTGGTGCCATTGGAATTGGAACTCTTCGCTTGCTGCTGAAGATGGGGGACGGAGCAATTATGGGAGTGTCCCGAGTGCAGTGATGTCTATTCTCAATTCAACATATCTGGGAGACAGTGTGTTGACTGCGCCGAATGAACCCGGGCCACTTTTCAACATCCTGTGTATAGATGCCGAAGGAAGACATCTTGTAACATCCCTAGAACATAGGACAGCCCAAGGGAATTGGCACGAATTCTTGCGGTTGACAAGATAAGGTGAATTTCGGGAGTAGTACCAAGCTGTCAGCTGAAAGAACTCCAGGAGTAGCACTGCCTATACCTCTGTGACAGTTTCATCAAAAGAACTTACTTAACCAATGAGGTTTTGTATACAAATCATTATCTTTTTCATTATAAATTGCCAGAAGACTTGAACCACTTGCAGTGTTATAGGAATTAAAATTATTTGAAAGATATCCCCACTGTGGTTGCCAGATTTATTAAGTATACATGAACCAAAACTTAAATATAAGAAGACACTTGATGTCATGTTTAAGACATGCGAGGAATAGTTAGTAACACATCATGCGTTGTTTAGGACTTGAAAGAGTTGAAATGTTTTTCATTGCAGCATAAGTGAACTATTCAGTAACATTCACAGATTTTTTAAAGACAAAAAGACAGTGTTAGACAAATGTTTTCAGCAGACAAAATACTTGTGAATAACTGTAACCTAAAACGCAAGACTCACCATCATCATCATGATCATTGACTGCAACAAGCTGTGAAGTGGAAGGAACTCTGGGCATAGCATTTTCTAGGTCTCTGTACTGGTTCTGTTTGTGAAGAAAAAAGTCATTACGTATAAAGGAGCGTTCATCTGACACCCTGTTTTAATGGCTTTATTACAAAAGTATGAAATAAATATCAATCGGTGCGGCAAAATTAAACAATGCTTTCATTCTGAATTAATTATACACCATGGGTTGGTCAGAAAAAGTCACCGTAGGTATTCAGGCAAGCATCCCATTGCTTAGGTAGGAGGCAAATGCGACCCCCAAAAAGGATTTGTTTCAGCTTCATAGCAAATGGGTCACCCCATAGTTGCTTCGCTCCTGTGCCAATGAAAAACACACAGAATGTCCATCACTGTCCCTTGGGGAAAACTGACACAGACTGCAGTCTCAACATATCCGTTAGCATACACACACATAAGAAGGATAAGGTAGTCATCAGAAGTGCTAACACAAACCTTTCGACATTAGAAATGCAGTTCATCATTCATGGAGGCAGCGGTTACAAACAGACCAGCAGTTGCACACATGATTAATTATTCACATAAGGCACCACTAATTCAGTGGCAACAGGCCACTCCCCATTTTCTGAATCTACAGTTCATAACACCATGTTGGTCACAGTCGTAAAACATTCCACATGAAATCTGCAGCTCACAGTGTCACACCATGCACTTAATTCAGTAGCTGGGTAACAAAACTATACCCTTTCAGTCTACAAATGAAGGAAAATGCAACAGTCGCCGTCTGTCAAAAGCAAATATTTGCCATGACTAAAACAGTGACCGCGCCTAGCGTTCATTGCTGTCCACTCAGCCAAATGTTTATCACCTTCATTTCGTCTGCATCTGTGTACAACCACTGTGCCTTAAAAAAAATTTATTTTTTCAACAGATCCAAACAAATGAAAATCACATGGTGACAAATCAGAACTATAGGCTGGATGTTGCAGAATCTCTCCCTTCTTTGTTGCTAATACTTCCTGCACAATTTTTCCATCATGCAGACGAGCATAATCACACAGTGAGAAAGCATGCCAGGACAATTATTCCTGATGACTTTGTACAGTTTGTCTAGTGTTTCCAAGTCGGAGGGTGCAGCCCGGGTCGAACAGGAAGCTTAATATACGGTTGTGAGGTTAAGCAGTCATGTGTGGGCTCTGCATTTATGGAAGCCTCCTTGGATGGTGGGGAATGCCCATGATCTGCCCCTGCCTTCCCTTGGGGGCTGACCATTCTACACAGGGCTATTCTAAAGGGGTTCTCCAGGGGCAACAACTGTAGATAAAGGAGACCACACAAATGAGGTAACATCTCGACCCACAGAAAACAATGGCCACAGTCATCCCAGAAATAGGCTTGACATCTTCCCTCGAAGTCGGAGTACATCTGCTGGTGAGGTAGGGAACGGCAAAGAAATAAGCCAGTAAAACAGATGTGCACGTAAAACTCAGGTGCAGTTAAAAGCCAAAAGTCCAATTGGATTAACTACTGGGACCTTCCGCCAGAATTCACAGCCGGTGAACGAAGAAGAAGTGTTTTTCAAGTAGTGGATAAAGTTGATGTTAACACCAGTCTGCCAGCAACAGCCCTACATAGTTTGAAAAAAAATGGGTGCTCTATTAATATCCTACCCCAAGCAACGGAAATCCACAGGTCAAGGGACAGTCTAATATTTCAGGGGTTGGTAGATAGGCTGCACGCAGTCATGGGACTAGGCTGCATGCATTCGTGGGACCTAGGCTGCACTCTCTCGTGGGACATATGTGGGTTGGGGTTAGGGCCAGTTCTAGATGTTTTGGGGTTGTTAAAAGCATCAGAAAGCCGGGAAAGCCAGTCTTACCACCCTCTAAAATGTTGAACTGTCCTGTGACGTCATCTGGGGTAAGATATTAATAAAGAACCAAAAAATGTGCCCAGCATAACCTTACCAGCAGAAACCCGTAGCTAGAAATGTTTAGCTTTTGGTGATCCAGTATGCTTTCATTGCATGCTCTTCCTTTTGCTGCTTGGCCCAAAGTCCAATATTTTCATTTTTTGAGGTAACTGTTTTATGCTTGTGTACAGCATGAAGCACTATTAATGCCTTTCAGTGAACACGTATGACTTCTCTCTCTCTCTGAGCATTTGCTGACAGGGTAAGAATGTCTAAAAATGAAACTACAAAAGGTATGGCTTACCTCTATTCTCTCCAGCTGTAGAACCAGAGAGTTCTTCTCAGTACTCAGAGCTTCCAGCATAGTTTGTTTCTGTATAAGGCTTTCTGTGAGGGAGCGCAGCCTGGACTCCAGCTCACTTTCCGTGCTGCTGCTCATGCTTTTGGTCATTAGCTATCAGCAAATACAACAGCAAACTTTTTTACAACAATCAATGCAATTTATAAGAATATATTTACAATCCTGATAGCACAGTAAATAAAGGGTGAAGAAACCGAACTTCATTCTGAGTCTGGCCCTGGTATGAGGGATGAGGAGCACTGAAGTGATGTTGAAGACTAAGTCTACCCAAGCAGCTTGCATAGGCTGTGAATATCTGGCCATTGTGTTTGTCATGATGGATGACTGCTTGACGATAGCAATAATAACTTGCTGTGTTTGAAACTTTTGAGCTGAGTGCTTGCCAGTTATATCCTAGACAACCAATTAGTGATAAAGGACAGACTATGCAGTCTGGAACAGATATTATAGCTACTGTTGTATGTCAAGCCTTGTGTTCCCGCCAGTCTACTGTTGACTTTTATGTGTAGTAATTGTTGTTGTATACTAGGAAATTAGTCCCAGTCCTTTGCAGTGTTACTGAGCCACTGTTAAGTAGTGTATTGCACTGACCTTCAAGACAGTAGTCAGACATTTAACTTTGAAAAAATAAATGAATGTAAAATATGATTAGCAAAAGTTTACCTGATTCCTCAATTTGTCAATTTCTGACTCTCTGTCATTGATTCTTGTCTGAAATGCTGCCTTCTGCTTATGAAGCTCTTCCAATGTGTACTGAAGCTCCTTGAGAATGAAGAAATGAACAATTTCATATTAACCAAATGTTGCTTTACAGTGTACACATTGTACAAATAACATGGCCTGGTGTGGATTTTGAAACTATAATACACATGATATTGAATGTTAAAAATCTGATTACAATAAATGTAATTCTAGACAAAGCTTTCAAACAATAACAGATAAAGAAGAAATTTAAAAAACTATATTAAAAGAAAAGAAAAAATCAGACTCTCTTATGTTTGTGATATAATGACCTCTGTCTCTGCCTGATTTCACTTCCTTCTTTCTTTTGTCGTCTCGCTGATACCAGGTTGTAGCCCAGTGTTGTGGTTTTCTGTATTTGTCTTGGGCTTCTCATGATGCTTGGATGATGGATTTGTTCACCTTTTTTGCAGGTTTCTGCTACATCATTCGTTCATCTCTTTCTTGATCTTCCTCTCGCCTTCCTCCCAGATGTCCTGCTGTAAAAAGTCTCAAATGCAATTTTGTCCGGCTGCATTCTCACTAGATGGCTGAACCACTTCATTCTTTGTCTGTCAATATAATCCAGACATGGTCCTGTTCCAACTTTCTCTCTAATGCTGGTATTTGTAAACTTGTCTCTTCTTGTGTTGTTAGTGACCTTGTAGAGACAGCACATGTCACATTTCATTTTCTGTTCTACTGCTCTATTCACTGTCCATATTTGGCACTGATAACACAAAATAAGGAAAAAAGATGCTATTAATGATTTGCTGTTTTGCTGGAAGGGAGACATTTGGGTGTCTAAACAGCAGGGCTGGTTAAGTCAGTTGTAAATTCTTTAAAGGACGTTACAGAAACCCAGCAAATTTGTGTGTGTGTGTGGCTGCTGTAGTTTTTCTAGGCAAATTTTACTTTTAGTAGTTTGCCACTGCCTCTGAATAGTCAGCCCTTGATACCACTGTTAAAACAAATCCAAGATGGTCTGCTTCCAAATCACCTACACCTGGGATTGAACCCGGCACTATGAAGCGTTTTAGCAATGCTAAAGACACCGACTAATCTGGTCATGGCAACTCATTCAGTGTCAAACCTTCAGGAAGCAGCTTAGAGGTTAAAAACGATCAGTCAGTCAGTCGATTTAGTGACAAATAGTTATACTGTCTGTGCCATCTTCACAGTGAAGGTTGGTTACAGTGCATCCACTGCTGCCTTTTGAAATTTTACGTGGTGAGGCCTAAATCTCTTCTAGGGTGCGACTCTCACCTGCATAAAATAAGAAATTATTACATGTAAGAGGTAGCTGTTTCAACAGTGTGACCACAACAACAGCTGACTGACAAACCTGCTTCTGCTTCAAAAGTTCCAGTTCAACATCCTCTTTCTTTCTCTTTTCCTCCCTGAGACTATCCTCCAATGACCTGATTGTCTCCTGTGCGGTCTCACTTTCATGATGCAGTTGTGTCTCCACATCCTATGAGAAACAGTTACATCTTAAAATCACGACACACTGCCACTGAGTTAGTGGGGTCCATTTAAAGTAAAAGTAAAGTAAAGTAAAAGTAAAGTAAAGTAAATATCCCTTTTCACACCTCTAGGCATATCAGGAATATGGGAAGAGTGCCCACATTTTTATAGACCATCTGCACTAATGGGGCCCATTTGGGAGGAATAAAAATGCTGCTGCAGGTTTTGTTGGCTTATTTCTTCCATCTCTCCAAATTTGTGGAAGTCAAATGAAATCAAAACTAATACTAAAGATTTTCACATCTAACGTCAAATCGGCACTGCTGTATGGAGCAGAAACATGGAGAAAAAAGCAGGGAAAAAATAACCATACACACAAGGAGAAGGGAACTAGACAGTGAAGTTAAAAAGATGGGGAAGACATGGGGTGAGCTGCATACAAAGCAAAGAATAGGATGATCTGGCATAAGTTGGTTGAGAGCTTATGCCTCCCTGGAGGGATAAAGGTCAGAAGAAGAAGTGTACTACTGTCCTAAAGGGAGGCATAGGAATCATAGCCCACAGAAACACCAATTAAGCCCAGTGTTCGATCGACTAGTCTGTTCCCTCAGGCTGCTATCAGAATGTCTACCACCCTGAGATACAATCTCAATATGGATGGCCAAATAACAGGGCCAGATCAAAGTCACCTCATTCAGCCTTTAAAAAAAAAGTTATAATTAGGGCACAGGTAGCGGCTATACCAGACCAGTGTAAACAACTGTAGCCCTGTGCAGATAAAGATGAAAGCCAGGGATGAAGTTGCTCCTTTTCACAACACAAAGCCTGAGTCGTATGACAAAAACTATAAACTCTTTCTATCCCAAGCCAAGCACCACCTATGACCGGATATTATCCTCATCATCATCATCATCAAGTGCCTTGCCAGCTGGCTTAGGCGTTCATACATCTCCACAGATCTCGGTCTTTGGTATTCTGGATCAATTCCACTGATGATATTCCTCCATGCCAGTCTTAAAAAGCCAACCACTATACTTTCTTCTGGTCTGCCTCTGCCTCTTCTACTAGTGATCATTCCAGTCATCATGATATTTTCCAGTGTTCCTTTTCTCATCACACGACCAAAGAACTTTTATCTCCTTCTCACTCATATCCAGGTGCCCCTATTAAATAAAGGGTTATGTATATTTCTACATCTTATATCAAGTAAGGCACTCTAAAGAACTCTAACAAGACACATGTTTCCTACAAGGGGTGTGTTAAGTATCTGAACCACATGGAAGTAGTACACTTATGAGTTTATGTACTGTTATTTTACTACCTCCCTTGGGCATCAGCTGTGACCTTCTGGGGTGAAAAGAGTTAAAGAAAAGTAACACTGTTACCTACAATACCACTTGTGTGTTACAGGGATCCGTAGGAAAAGCAAAGAGTGTTAACACTGTAAATTACCATGCACCTCTAAAACAACAATGAGGAGGAGATAAACACAGGTCTTTGGTCATGTGATGGAAGAAAAAAGCACTAATATTGTGATGACTGGAAAGATCACTGGTAGAAGAGGCAGACCAAGAGAAATGATGGTGGATGGCTTAAGACAGTGGCATGGAGGAATATCATCGGTGGAATTGATCCAGAACACCAAAAACCAAGATCTGTAGAGATGTATGAACGCCTATGCAAGCTGGCAAGGCACTTGATGATGATGACCTCTAAGAAAGTGACTAAAAACACAATTTTCCCTGTAAGAATTCCGTGGCCCGTGACTCAGTTCTGGATGACAAAGAACAGACCCATTGTCCTCTAACAAGCATGTCCTTAAAGGTGTCTGATTGGGGGTGTTTCCTTCAAAGTCAGAGTGCATCTGCCTGAAAGGCAAGGAACCAACAGTCTGCCTGCATATCTGTTTTACAAATCTGACTTATTTGTATACAGACTGTCAGTTCCCTGCCTCTGAGGTAGATGCTCTCCAACTTCAAAAGAAGCCCCCCCCCCCCCCCCCCCACCTTTTTCCCCAATTAGTCAACTCTTATGACATGCTTGGTGGGGGGGGGGGGGGAGAAGGCAGTGGGACTATTCATGTTTTCTCCCACAACAGGGTCCCAGAACCCACACAGGAAGAACTAACGATAACAAGATAGTACTAAGTTAGTTGCGTATCCTTTATAAGACGTTGCAGAACCAAATCAAGCTTGTTTTGGCTGTTTGTGATTTTATTTTTGGCAATTTACACTGAGTAGTGTGTCACCGCCCTCTGAACAGTCAGCTCTCAATACCACTGTTGAAACCAAAGCAAAGTGGTCTGCTACCAAATCGCCTAAAGCTGGGACTGAACACCATGTAATTACAAAGAGCATTCTCAACGCTTAAACCACAGATGCCTATGTAGTACTAACAAGCCATTTTTAGTGACCAATCCACACACAAGTTAACAGCAGAAGTAACATACCTGCAGTTCAACTCGTAGATTCTCTATCGTGATTTTCATCTGCTGCAACTCTTCTCTAATCATATCTCTCTCCTGTTTCAGTGAGTCATACTCTAACATTGAAACACCACCAGCATCCCCTAATGGACTTGATCCATCTTTCATGCTGGAAATCAGCTTTTCCTTTGACTTGAATGAAAGATAAGAAAGATACACTTTGATTACATCTGACATGTACAAGAAATTTCAATGATACATCAATGAAAAAAATTAATGTCCTCAATGAATACAACACACCAACCACAAATTAAAATCGATGATAAAGAGATAGAAAATGCCTCAGATTTTGAATATTTAGGCTCAATTGTTTACAATAATAAGACATTAGAAAAAAAAGACTCGCTTTAACAAGGAAGAAATTCAACAGCATGAAGAACCTAAGAAACAGTCCCTGCAAGTGTGATAAAGTAAACATTTTCAGATCAAGCATCGATGATAAAGAGATAGAAAATGTGTCAGATTTGGAATTTTTAGGCTCAATTGTTTACAATAATAAGATATTAGAAAAAAGACTTGCTTTAACAAGGAAGAAATTCAACAGCATGAAGAACCTAAGAAACAGTCCCTGCAAGTGTGATAAAGTAAACATTTTCAGATCAAGCATCGATGATAAAGAGATAGAAAATGTGTCAGATTTGGAATTTTTAGGCTCAATTGTTTACAATAATAAGATATTAGAAAAAAGACTTGCTTTAACAAGGAAGAAATTCAACAGCACGAAGAACCTAAGAAACAGTCCCTGCAAGTGTGATAAAGTAAAAATTTTCAGGTCAAGCATCTTTTTCTTGGCCCTTAAAAATTAAAATCGATGATAAAGAGATAGAAAATGTCTCAGATTTGGAATATTTAGGCTCAATTGTTAACAATAATAAGATATTAGAAAAAAAGACTGATAAAGTAAAAATTTTCAGATCAAGCATCTTTTTCTTGGCCCTTATGCATGTGAGTCATAAACTCTAATGAAATTACTGAAGAAAAAATTGGAGCTTTTGAACTGAAATGATACACAGAATATTTTAGGATCAAGAAGAAGAAGCACATCGACACCCTACAAGATCTGGGCATCAAGGAGAACTGGCTCATAAACAACATCCTGTCCCAAAAGCTGAGGTATTTTGGCTATGTTTAAAGTCATGGTGGCCTGGCATGACCGTGATCCTGGGTACATTTTCCAGAAAATGAGGCTGAGGTAGACCATGAAGTTGAATACAAGAAACTGAAGATGCACTGGCTATGAAAGCACACAGGGCTGGAGAACTGACTAGAGACAGACTACTAAGGGTGTCGTGATGAGAGCGAGGTTCTGTAAAAGGCCTGATGATTGACGATGACTAGAAATATCAGCTGTGAGAAGTTTCTCATCTGTTCATGGTGTTCCTATCATTCATCTATACTGAAACACATCTCTACATAACCTTTTCACTAATCAGCTAACTCACCATACTTCACTTCCACACATCAGGACTGGCTCTATATAGATTTTGAGAACTCTCTCATCTCATATGACAAAGGCAAGATTTCATAGGATATTTTTCATTTTGTAAAATGCTGCTTTTCTTGTAATTATTCTACATTTAACTTCTTTAATACATCTTCCATCTGCTGATATCATGTGCCAAAGAATTGTCTATTCCTTCTTCTGTTTTCACCTTTAAAAGGGTGGTTGGTGCACCATATTGTGGTTTACAGCTAGGCTGCAATATATATGCATTTTGGCCCAACACACTGATTTTCAGCAAATGCATAATTAATCACCTTTAATGACATGCTTGTTGGGTTACCCCACTTCTCGACCCTGGAAGCCCAAGTAATAAATGCACTGATTTGTTTCAGATCTGTCCCATTTATGCTGATGCAAAATTTTGCAACACTGTGACAATTTAAAATTTGCGAAAAAAATACCTGTAAGATACGAGCTGCCTTCTCTTTGTATTCTGAGAGTTCCCTCCTGGCAGAGTCTGCATTCGATTTAGCCGCCCGAAGCTGACCGGTCAGCTCAGCAAGCTTGACTGTATAAACAAACATCAGAGTTACAATTATTATCAGTATTATTCAAAACATTTTTCTGTAGAGAATAAAAAAAAATAAAAAAGAGGGCACATAGTGAACAGTGAAGCAAAAGAACAAAAGGATCACACAGGTTAACCTTTTACTTTTGTATTGATGTGTCCAGTCTAACAAGAGAGCATGTGGTGAGATTTACAGTGTAACAAATAATGTGGTGAGATGTACAGTGTAACAAGAGACAATGTGGTGAGGTATACAGTCTAACAAGAGACAATGTGGTGAGGTATACTGTGTAACAAGAGACAATGTGGTAAGGTATACAGTCTAACAAGAGACAATGTGGTGAGGTATACAGTCTAACAAGAGACAATGTGGTGAGGTATACAGTCTAGCAAGAGACAATGTGGTGAGGTATACAGTCTAAAAAGAGACAATGTGGTGAGGTATACAGTCTAACAAGAGACAATGTGGTGAGGTATACAGTGTAACAAGAGACAATGTGGTGAGGTATACAGTGTAACAAGAGACAATGTGGTGAGGTATACAGTCTAACAAGAGACAATGTGGTGAGGTATACAGTCTAACAAGAGACAATGTGGTGAGGTATACAGTCTAACAAGAGACAATGTGGAAAGGTATACAGTCTAACAAGAGACAATGTGGTGAGGCATACAGTCTAACAAGAGACAATGTGGTGAGATGCGCAGTGTAACAAGAGACAATGTGGTGAGATGCGCAGTGTAACAAGAGACAATGTGGTGAGATGCGCAGTGTAACAAGAAACAATGTGGTGTGATAAAAAGTGAACAAGAGACAATGTGGTGAGATGCGCAGTGTAACAAGAAACAATGTGGTGTGATAAAAAGTGAACAAGAGACAATGTGGTGAGATGCGCAGTGTAACAAGAAACAATGTGGTGTGATAAAAAGCGAACAAGAGACAATGTGGTGAGATGCGCAGTGTAACAAGAAACAATGTGGTGTGATAAATAGTGAACAAGAGACAATGTGGTGAGATGCGCAGTGTAACAAGAAACAATGTGGTGAGGTGTACAGCGCAACAAGAGTAAATGTGGTTTGTGATTTCAGTTTTTAAAAAAAATTCATTTATATAATTTATTTTATATTTCATAGTAATGCACATGATGAGATATGGCAGAATATGCCAGGCAATAAACTGCTTGTGTCCTTATCTTACTGTGTCTTTATTATACACAACATATCAATGCATACCATGCCTCCATTACAGTGGTGCTGAGCTGCTAAGAGCAGACACCTCAGCAGCACTGCAATTTTACAAAAGCCCCAATTCATAATGAATCGAATTTTAACCCTCACACCTTGGCAAATAGAAGAAAAAGGTTCAAGACCCCGTTGGAATATTAGTCAAGTCACTAACAAAATCTGCCTACACTTTTACTGACAAAAATTGACAGAAGTAGATACATACAGTCCAGGCACACAGGGTTTGAGATTAACATTTTAAAATCGTAACTGCCCTTCAACATCTGCTAAAGTCAAAGTGTCTGTCTCGCAACACTAAGATCAAAATATATAACACGTTGATAAGACCAGTTGTTTTATATGGCTCTGAAACTTGGAGCACAACTAAAAGAGATGAAGCCTTATTACAGGTTTTGGAAAACAGAGTCTTACCACGAATCTTTGCACCCATCAAAGACGCAAACAGCAGGGAATGGAGAGTGAGAAGCAACAACGAAATTCATAATCTCACCATTGATAACTGGCATTATGAGAGCTAATAGGCTGAAATGGTTGGGGCCTATTGAGAGAATGTCAGATGACAGAGAGGTAAAAACTGTATGCACAAGGGAGATGAATGGACGTAGACAAAGAAGCAGACCAAGAAGCCGATGAAGAGATAATGTCCTGACAGACCTGCAAACACTTGGTGTCACCAACTGGAAAGAGAAGGCCAACCAGAGAGATGAGTGGAGGCGGGTGATATCTGCAGCAATGAACATCAAGGGCTCGGAATGCTGAAGAAGAAGATGACTCATTAAATGAAATAAAGCAGGGAAAGGATAGTTCATTTTTTTTTCTTGTGTACATATGTGGAGTAGTTAACATTCTTATCATTTATTTAAGTAAAGTAAACCAATAAGCACTTGATGAGCGAAGTGGTCGTCATCATACTGGCCACCTTTACTTCCCAGGACATTTTCTGGTACTCAGAGTAAGCTGGGTCAAACTGTGTATCAAAAGTCAATAATTAAAAATCTGTCCTGAGGTGGATTCAAATCGAAGACTTTTGGGGGTCAAAAGGCAAAGACCTAGCCACTGTGCGTGCACCTGCAGCACCCCATCCTTCCTGTGACTGTTATAAGCATCAAACAGGTAGTCGCCCTATTGTTAGGACTAGTTAATGCCTAGACATATCTTATTTAAAATAATGTATGTTTATGATATACAGTGGCAGCTTGACATCCAAAATGAATGCATTCTTGTTTGTGGTTCATATCTTAAAAATTTTGTTTTTCCAAATCCCAATTTCCCATTACATCTTATGGGAAATCGATTAATACGTTCTCAGATTAAAAATTTTCAGTTGAAAGACAATTATCCAGACAAGTGGTATCATTTCTATTTCTCTCATAACTTTGTTTCTTAAAGACGACACCAAAGATACTCCTTTGGCCACATCCAGTTCCTTCTACAAATCCGCTTTCTTGAGAACTGTTGCTATAGTGGACTTGGACAAGTTATATTATTTGCACAAATCAGTTTGCCGGACTCCTTTCTCATATTTTTCCACAACCTCTTGCTTAATTTCTATTGGGATTTTCTTCTTCTCTTCTTTCTTAGTTTTTTACTGCACCCATGTTGGAAATTATAAGCAATATCTAAACTATAATGTGAATTGTCTGTCCTTAATGTCCCCTGCAAGAATATAAACTAACGGCATTGTTTGATTACATAAATACTGAAATATATATACATATACACACACACAAAAAAGCATTTATGTAGGCACAGCATGCATCACACACTCCACTCATTACGTCGTACTCTGGATAAATGCAAAATATAACAACATACACCTGTGCAAGCACAGTGCATCACAGTTCCTATCTCAAATCTAGGTTGTCTGTATCTCGAAAAGTTCATATATTTAGAGCGGTTTGTAAGTCAAAGTACCACTGCAATGATTTAAAGTAATGTCTGTCTGGGATTAAAAAGTAAAAGTTTTCAACACCTATAGGCGTATAGGGCATATAGGACTAGCCCTATATTTTATAGACCAATCGGCACAAGATGGGTGATGTGGTCAGCATCACGCCTGCCGCCTTTACCTCCCTGGACTGCATCCGGTACCCACTCAAAGCTGGGAGCCAAGGTCATTTCTTTTTTAAAAAGTCTGGCGCCGCCAGGGAGCAAACCCACGACCTTCCGATTTGCAGGTGAGCGTATAGCCGCTCAGCCACGGCAACTCCCCAGTCTGGGAATGCATAGGAAGTCGCCGTGGCCGAGCGGCTAGACGCTCGTCGCGGATCGGAAGGTCGTGGGTTTGCTCCCTGGCGGAGCCTTACTTTTTTCAGAAATTACCTTGGCGCCCAGGTCGACTTAGCCTTGAGTGGGTACCGGGAAAGTAAAGGCGGCCGGCATGATGCTGACCACATCATCCATCTTGTGCCGATTGCTCTATAAAAATATAGGTCTAGCCCTATATGCCCTATAAGCCTGATGGCGTGGAAAAGGGTCCTTTACTTACTGGGAATGCATAAGTTAAATTATTCATATGTGTACATGTAAGACTTACCCTTTTCATCACCAAGTTTTTTCTGTGCCGCTGTCAGTGCTTCAGTCATGGACTGCTGCTCCTGCTCAAGTCTGTTCTGTCTTTCTCCAGATTCTTGCTGAAAGTCAGTATATCAAGAAGCTTAATAGTTTCTTTTTTCAAAGTGGGTTCTGGGACCCCCGTCTGGGGGCCGGGGGCATACCCGATGCCCCCAAAGCAGCATGTTGTAAAACGTGACTAATTAGAGATCTCCTGAAAGATGTGTTGGGTTGAAAGCTGTAAATAACACAGCCAAGTGTAAACCACAATACAACATCCTAACCATCCTTTTAAGAGCAAACATAGAAGAAAAAGAAGAAGACAACGATGAAGAAATATTTTCTTGAAAGATTATGGGGCATACCTGATGCCCTCAAAGAAGCATGTTGTAAAACGTGACTAATTAGAGATCTCCTGAAAGATGTGTTAGGTTGAAAGCTGTAGATAACACAGCCAAGTGTAAACCACAATACAACATACTAGCCATCCTTTTCAGAGCAAACATAGAAGAAGAAGACGAAGAAATATTTTCTTGAAAGATTATGGGTCACATTTATTCTCCAAATCAGGATCACTCAACTAACTTTATTCAGTGGCCAAAATTTTGAAAATAAGGATCGTCACCGGCCATAGGTCTTAGCCCCAGCCTAGAAGGTCATTAACATAATACAGCCCTGCTCCACATGTTCATACATCTGAAAGCATACACTGATTTCTTCACTTTATCCTACCATATTCTATTAATTTTTACCACCACAGTCATCGGTTGAGGTATACAGAGAGCATAGAAAATAACAGAGAAACAAAAACCGTGTACCTAAAAGAGTTGAATAGGAGTAGCAAATGCGGAAGATCAAAAAGACTCTGCAGTGATAATACACAGCCAGACAAACACTTGGAGTCACCAACTGGAAAGATAAGGTCCTGGAAACAGAAGGCCAATTACAGAGAAGAACAGAAGCAGGTGATATCTGCAGCAATGAATCTCAAGGGCTTAGAATGCTGAAAAAAAAAAACAAATTGAATCCTTGGTGGGTATACTGTTCCAAAGTAGAAAAGAGTTAACTCACTTTGTGCTACATAAATGTGTCAGAAACAAGCTTCACATGTAACTATTAGGTAGACTGAATTACAGAAAGTGACATAGTGTGAGTGATGGGGAACAAAAGAAACAGAGAGAGGGTGGGAGAGGAAAAGGGAGAAAGAGAGAGGTCAGAGAGAGGCAGTGAGTATGTGTGTATGTGAAAGGGAGAAAGAAAAGAGAGAGGGGAGAAAGAAAAGAGAAAGGAGAGAAAGACAGCCTTTATCAGCAGAAATCATCATTGGCACCTTTCCGTCTTTCCAGACGATAGTGTTATATTGCGCAATGAGGAGGCATGAGACTCACAGCCCATGGCGATGGCGAGTGTGACTAGCAAGACCCGCCCATGTCAAGAAAAGTCTTCCACAATGATAACATGGGATTTCAGGACAATTGTTAACAACATTTGTGTTTAATCCGTTTCTCTTCAGACGCTCAGCTCTCATCCTTTCTGCAAAAATGTCTTCCTTCAGTCTCATTCCCTTCCTGATATGCTCTTTCCACACAACACGGTCCATGGCATTTTGTTCCCATGAGTCCACCCCAATACCTGTATCATTCATGTCCCGCTTGCATACATCTTTATAACATAGTAGAAGTCGGCCTCGACATCTTCTTCCTGTCTTTAATTCACCATAAAGGATGTCCTTAGGGATTCTGCCATCCTCCATTCTCCAGGTGTGACCCAGCCACCTGAGCCTTCGTAGACTGAACATGGAAAAGACTGTGGTAGTACCTGCTCTTTCCAGTACCTCAGTGTTTGTGATTTTGTCCTGCCACTTAATGCCAAGTATTCTTCTTAGGCATCACATGTGAAAGCTATTCAGCAATCTCTCTTGGTGCAAACAGGCTGACCAAGTTTCACTGCCATAAAGCAGAGTGCTGAGAATACACGCCTGATAGACAAGGGTTTTTGTTTTAATTGTGAGCTTTCTGTTTTCCCAAACTCTCTTTGACAATCTGCTCATTGTTGTTGCTGCCTTACCTATCCTGATGTGGATTTCTTGGTCCAGTTTACTATTCACTGTGAAACCCAGATAGGTAAAATGGTCTACTGTCTCAAGCTCTTCACCATCAATGTAGACTGTAGGTCTGTCATTGACACCTTGCACCATAACCTTTGTCTTCTTTCTGCTGACTGTTAGTCCAAATTCACAGCATGCATCAGCAAAGGCAGATAGTAAACACTGCAGCTCCTCCTCTGAGTGGGTGGTTATTGCGGCATCATCTGCAAACAGCAGCTCTCTGATAAGTACCTTTCTTATCCTGGTTTTGGCCTTCAGCCTGCGTGCATTGTAAAGGCTGCCGTCAGATCGAGAATGAATGAAAATACCACCCTCCTGATCTCGAAAGGCATGTGTCAAAAGAAGTGAAAAGTATATTCCAAAGAGGGTAGGAGCAAGTACACACCCCTGCTTCACTCCATTTTTGATTAAAAACTCTTCCGATGTTTCACCATCAAAGTTGATTGTACCTTTCATACCTGTGTGGAACGACTCAATAATACTCAGTAGAGTAGGTGGACACCCAACCTTCTTCAGTGCACTGAACAGACAGACCTTTTCGACTAACCAAATCAAATGCCTTGGTAAGATCAATAAAAGCAACATACTTTAGCAATATGCTTTACATAACAGAAAAAAGTCTGAGTTAGTAGAACATAAAAGAAGCAGCTGAAACAAATAAAGCCAGGTAATGCAAGAAAGACATTCCTGATACAGCATATTAAAAAGACCAAGAGTCAAGCAGGCAGATATCATATAAATTCTAAATTATCCACTGAACAACCAGCTATTGAAAAAATACCTGGCATAAAAACATCAACTGTCAACCTTATTTTACATGTTCTAATCATTTTGGGCAGGAATGCAGGGAATGGTCAGTGACTACTGCAAAATCAGAAATTCAACAACTGATTCATAACCATTCTTGCCCAAGTGATGCAATTATGTATACAGATAGCTCTCTGTTGAAAGGCAGAAGAAGTGCATAGGGGCTCACTGCAAAGGTGAATGTTAACCCTTTCGCTGCTATGGACGTCTTTTCCCGATTTCCCGTACGCTGCTACGCCCGTCTTTGGACGTTATTTTTTTTCTTGACCCCCAGTGCTATGGACGTCCTAAGCCGTTTTTGGACTTTTCTTACAGATTTCTGTTACCTCGTATTTTATTGGCTGAAGGGCAATATACATTAACTATATTTAGATTAAACTGACCCATTTACATATGATTAAAAGCACTGGCACGTACTTTTAGGTGTGTTTAAGGTGTGTTTACTGCATTCTGCGTTATCCCGTTGCTTTGTTTACCATGACAGCGTGGTCGGTGATCTGTGTATTTTGTGCCCTGATATATATTTGTGCTTTTGTATTATTCTACACTTAGTACAAAATGGCAAGAAAACTTGTTAAAGTTGATGAAGAATTTATGGAGTTTCTGTCAAGAAGTGATAGCGAAGATGACTTTGAAATGTTTACTTCTGACAGTGAACAAAAAGATTTGACTAGGCCATCAATATCGACTGCTGAAACCGTCGTGTCCAAAAAAAAGCTGTTTGCCTGTCCGACGTCCTCATTGTCGGAATCAGAGAGCAGCGACAATGAAGCGCCATCAAAACGGCAATAAATTGATCAGTTGTCTTTATGAACCGATGATTTGAAACCTGTAGTGTATAATTGTGATGATTCCAGCTCTGGCTGTATTTCAGCTACTGTAAATTCAAACAGTTCAGTCACTAAAAATTCTCGTCTTTCCCGATGGACAGACACAGATTCAGACGATTTTTTTTTTTTTTTTTTGCTGTCTGTCTGCTAATGCTTAGAACAAAGAAACTCAAAATAGAGTACTTGAGCAAAGACTGTTTGCTAAAAACTCCCGTGAAATAATGTCGGCGGACATATTTTTACTATTGTTGAGAATCTCAAACATTTCTCAGACAACAGTGCTCATGCAGGCGGCGATAGACTACAAGCTTAGGCACGTTATTGATAGTCTGCGTACATCAGTCATTATTATCATTCACACAGCAAAATATGTCAAGCGGTAGTATAGTGTAGTTGGTATCACGTTCGCCTTAGAATCAGAGGGTCGTGTGTTCAACCCCCGAAGTCGTGTTTTTTTTTGTTGTTTTTTTTTTAAATTATTGTAAATTTTCCTTTCAGTTCCTGCTACTTTTCATCAACGGACGACTCAAGTATTGTTATTAAATTTTGTATTATTTTGGTATTTAATAACATGGTGACCACAAATAACTATGATTAAAGTGGCAGCCGTGGTAGGTTCGTCAATCAAATTTTGGGATACGGACATGGAACAGTTCTTCCCATTAACCCCCCCCCCCCCCCCCCCCCCCCAGTCAAGTTTGTGGGCCACCATTGTGCCTCTGACTTGTCACCACTCGGACCAACCACACAACTCCCCAGGGTAAAAATTTTTGGGTGTACAAAATATAGCCCTCACCGCCGACGCATCTCTTGCGTTTGGAGGATAGAAAAGTATTGCGCACAGCAAAGACTTTTTTTTTTACATTGCTTAGCACAGGGCAGACAGCTATTTCCGGGAACGTAGCAGCGAAAGGGTTAAATGTTGAGTTAAGAATCGACATCATAGCACTTGGGACACCCCCATTAGCGCTCCATCCTCATCTTCAGCAGCAGTGAAGAGTTCCAATTCCAATGGTACCAGTGTCTCGCCTTTCCCTTGAGTGTTGGGTGTCGGCCAGATCCCCTGGTAACTCCTAGCAACACAATTTTCCTCAGACCGTAATGATCTATTTACAGTTCACTTGCTCTCAAAAGGCTCTCACAGATTCTAGCTCGCCATACATCAATTCACCACGAAGTGGTGCAGAACCAGCCAGTCTGTCTGACTGCTCATTTCCCAACATACCGGTATGACCTGGAGAAAATATCCAAAGGATGATAACTACCCGGGACCTCTGAAGTGATACTTGCCACTCTGCATGGAGCACCGTCTTTCTCAGCATGCTCTGTGAGTCAATTAACAATCATGGCATGTGTGTACAATTGATTCTCAAGCCAGCAGAAGCAGCAGTGACTTAAACTAGATGTGATATCATATGCCAGACTGTTGCACTAAGCGGCGTCCATTTGCCCTTGCTATGGAACCCCCATGTACTTCGTCTGTTCCTCAATACACAGCCATATGTATAGATAATCACATTACCTGGGCGGGAATTGTCATGAATCATTTGTGAACTTCTAATTCTGCAGCACGAGCTGGCTAGTCCTTGCACTCACAACCTAAAGTGATATGAACCCTACAAAAGTATGAAACTTGTCGCAAAGGTAAACAGATGTTTCCTAGTGCCACAAAGCCTGGCATATGATCTTATATTGGAACCACTGGAACAGGAACTCTGCGCTGGCTGCTGAAGATGAAGATGGAGCACTTTACATGAATTTCCTGAGTGCTGTGATGTCAGTTCGTAATTTAACTCAACTCTGTGGAGACAGCACAGTATAGGGCTTTTGATCATCAGAAGCGGGCCACAAAACAATTCCATAACAATCAAGGTTCGTCTGTGACATGGTTCAGTCATGGTTCATACCTGCAACTGTTTGTATGCAGCCTGTTCTCTCGATAGTGCATACTCAACTTCCCTCAGTTTCTCCTTGAGTGAATCCAATGCCTGACTGTGAAGACCACTTGAGTCTGTGTGGTCCCTTAGTATTCTGCATCAGTAAGAGAAATAATAGAAATACAATGTTTAAAGCACTAAGAATTGTATATTCCTTCCTTTCCTAAATTTGCCTTCAAGTATCTATCCCTAAGAAGTAATTTTTAAAAGGGCTCAGACAGGAGACACGTCCAAAACAGGGCTTTTTTTCTGGCGGTACACAGTACCCACACCCTTTTTAGGCATAATTTTTGTGAGCGCTAATGTAACAGATACTTTTGTGGTGACTACCAGCACCTTTATTTAAAGACATTTGTGGGGTGGTAGGTGGGAGGGGGTTAATCAGCACCTTTATTTAAAGACATTTGTGAGGTGGTAGGTGGGAGGGGGTTAATCAGCACCTTTATTTAAAGACATTTGTGGGGTGGTAGGTGGGAGGGGGTTAATCAGCACCTTTATTTAAAGACATTTGTGGGGTGGTAGGTGGGAGGGGGTTAATCAGCACCTTTGTTTAAAGACATTTGTAGGGTGGTAGGTGGGAGGGGGTTAATCAGCACCTTTGTTTAAAGACATTTGTAGGGTGGTAGGTGGGAGGGGGTTAATCAGCACCTTTATTTAAAGACATTTGTGGGGTGGTAGGTGGGAGGGGGTTAATCAGCACCTTTATTTAAAGACATTTGTAGGGTGGTAGGTGGGAGGGGGTTAATCAGCACCTTTATTTAAAGACATTTGTGGGGTGGTAGGTGGGAGGGGGTTAATCAGCACCTTTGTTTAAAGACATTTGTGGGGTGGTAGGTGGGAGGGGGTTAATCAGCACCTTTATTTAAAGACATTTGTGGAGTGGTAGGTGGGAGGGGGTTAATCAGCACCTTTATTTAAAGACATTTGTGGGGTGGTAGGTGGGAGGGGGTTAATCAGCACCTTTTTCCCTTATAAAAAAGTAATGGTCTAAACCAATATGCCTTTGAATAAATTTCTATAATTTATCGAGGTAGAAAACTGGTCATCCACTCACATTATACTAGGAAATTTGTGAAAGCCTAACACAATGGGTATATGGTGCTAACTCTTATATATATCAGCTCTCATTGGGTGATGCAGTCAATGTCACATTAGTCGCCTTTACTTCCGAAGTCCCATCCTGATAACTGTTTATTTTAAGGTTGGGTTAAATTGGGAGTCAAAATGAATTTTTTTCAAATGTTTGTATGGGGCAGTGTTTAGATTGGTTAGGTATGATTTTATTTTCTAAAAAAAAAAAAAAAAGCATTTAAAGGATTTGGGGGAAAAAGGGGAGTTAAAAAATGCATTTTAAAAGCCAATATGGCATCATTTATCTCCGAGTTATTTTGTTCCACATCTTTAAAAAAAAAACACACACACACGGACACTCTTTTTTGCCTATGGAGAAGTATTCATTTTACTGTCTGCTCCGTTTTGCGTTTAATAATTACTTCCCTTAATACAAGGTGCCCCATAAGTTTCCAAACACAGGAAAAATAAGCATTGCAACAACACCATTACAAACATCACGCTAGCCGTGCTCATATGTATTCTTCACCAGAGGTGGACAGGCATCGAAATATGTTCTTAAAAGAATATTTTCATAATGTAAGGAAATTTATGAGACGCCTTGGATATTTCTATGCACCATTCATTTTCAGCAGTTGTTTTGTTCCATGTCTTATAAAAAAAAAAAACATACGCACACACACACAAATTTGTGTTCAATAATGCAGATGTATTCACTTAACAGGAGGCTGAGTGGCCTCAAGGTATGGTGTCTGCTTGAGTGCTGGAGGTCCAAGGTTGATGCCCCGGTGAAGGCTAGGATTTTTCACCTGGTCTCTGGCTAGTAAGATCGGATGCCCGTGTGTATTCTTGTGCAAGTAAAAAATCCCTTGGCAGTTGGAAATTGAAAAGTGTAGCCTAACAGCGCTACCTGGGCAAAAATTTTGAGTTAAAATTCTACCTACATAAACATTCACTTAATTAGTTCTGTTTTGTGTATAATTACTTCCCTTAATACAAGATGTCCCATAAGTTTCCACACAAAGGGGGGAAAACATATCACCAACACAATTACAAGCATAACTACAGCTGTCCTTATATGTATTTTTCAGCAGTGGAGTACAGGCATCAAAATTTGTTTTTAAAAGAATAATATTTTTTTCTATGTATGGAAACTTATGGGACACCTTGTATATTTCTACCCAAGTTAAAAACAAAATTGTAAAAACAAATTTTTTTTTTAGCGATTTGGATCAAAAAGCAACACGAAAAAAAAGTATTTTTTTCAGTAATCCCAGGTTGCTGCCCTTTTTACCCCAGAGACTGCGGAGTGAAAGGGTTAACTGTAAAACCTGATTAAACTATATCCCTCACCTTTCTCTTTCTAGTCGGACCTCTTCCAGATTCCTCTCTTTGGAATGAACCTTCTTGTCAGCCTCTTCCAGCCTCACTCGTAAAACTGCCAACTGTGCATCTTTGGCCTTCAAAGCCTCAGTCAGATCCAACTCTCTGGCTTGTAGCTCTCTGACCAGATGTTCATTCATTGATGCAGAGTTCGAGTGGATTTTTAATTTTTCTTTGGCCCTCATAAGTTCTGCATAGAAAGGTGTTATTGCTCACACACAGTAAATTGAAGCAATATAATAGAATTAACAGTATTCAGCCTCAGAATATGTGAAAAGATACAGTCACCTACTCATCCTGCTCTTCTGCAGCACAGGTTTTGTTTCAAATGCATTGGTAATACCTTTTCTTTGGAACAAACAAGCAGGCAGAAAGAAGAATCATGCTGCAGGGGCAATACATGGTCTCTAGAATACAGCCAAGGCTTTGTGCTACGGAGAGGAGAATGTTCATCCCTGGTCTTAATTGGCTGTGGTTCCCACATCTCTCTGCATCACAAAAGGGGCTGCCACGTCTCGAGGCATGGTGTCCGCCTCAAGTGCTAGATGCTAGAGGTTTCAGGTTCAATCCCCAGTAATTCCCCCTGGTCTCTGGGTAGTGAGATCGGACGCCCGTGTGTATTGTTGCGCACATAAAAAAAAACCTTGGCAGCTGAATATCGAAAAGAGTAGTCTAACGTCGCTGCCTGGGCAAAATTTGGAGTTAAAAATCTACACAAAGTATTTCACGATCCTCGCCGGTGCTACAGAGCCTGTGCACTGTGCTGAGAACTCAGACTTGAGTTAGAAGAAAAACTAAGCACTTATAGGTTACTACCTGTGTGCCATGATGTTGATCTGTTGTTCAAACCTCAAAATTCAAACCAAACACTTTTGTTTAGAAAGTCAGAAAAGTGCCAATGATGAATGAACATCATCAGCATAATATGCCTTGCCAGATGATGAAAGCATTCATGTCTCATTACAAATCTGGTTTTTAGTCTTCTAAATCAATCACAAATACTCTGAATGTCAAATCAAAGATATTCACAACATTCATTTCAGAGGCCATAACTGTAGAATGTAATCAGACATTTCAGAGGCCATAACTGTAGAATGTAATTAGACATTTTAGAGGCCATAACTGTAGAATGTAATCAGAAATTTCAGAGGCCCTAACTGTAGAATGTAATCAGACATTTCAGAGGCCCTAACTGTAGAATGTAATCAGACATTTCAGAGGCCATAACTGTAGAATATAATCAGACATTTCAGAGCCCATAACTGTAGAATGTAATCAGACATTTCAGAGGCCATAACTGTAGAATGTAATCAGACATTTCAGAGGCCATAACTGTAGAATGTAATCAGACATTTCAGAGCCCATAACTGTAGAATGTAATCAGACATTTCAGAGGCCATAACTGTAGAATGTAATCAGACATTTCAGAGGCCATAACTGTAGAATGTAATCAGACATTTCAGAGGCCATAACTGTAGAATGTAATCAGACATTTCAGAGCCCATAACTGTAGAATGTAATCAGACATTTCAGAGGCCATAACTGTAGAATGTAATCAGACATTTCAGAGGCCATAACTGTAGAATGTAATCAGACATTTCAGAGGCCATAACTGTAGAATGTAATCAGACATTTCAGAGGCCATAACTGTAGAATGTAATCAGACATTTCAGAGGCCATAACTGTAGAATGTAATCAGACAGCCATTAAAATTGTTTTCTGACAAGGATCTATTCTGTTTCATAAAAGCTTGAGGAGATAATGTGGTGGTTGCCCCATGATTTAAAAAAAAAAAAGATACATAGATCAGGGGAATTAAACAAAAAAAAAAATGCAGAGATCTGTGAGATAAGACTTTATATCACTCTGTTATTTATTACTTTGTCCGCGTTAGAGCAGTCAATAGGAGACTCATTTTCAAATCCAGCTGCGACCCGCTGCAGCCCATGGCTAGTGTTCCAAACCGGATGGTTCCCGGGGTTCACCCAGCCTCTAGGTAATGGGTAATAGAGCTAACACTCTGGGGTAAATGGAGGAACATCGCTGTAGCTACGGAGTTGTGTGCCGACGGCGACACAAGTGGACAGTTTTTTTATCAGCTGTCCGCACTGGTGGCTGAGCACTTATGTTTTATAACCGTGTGCAATGATGCTGGTTCACATCTCATGACTTTACCTTTACTTCACACAATATTTAAATGCTATAAGGAAGTCACTTCTTGTCAATTCATTTTGTGTTGTGTTTCGTTTCTCACTATCATTCTACTGGTGAAGACTAATTGCCACAACATTCTCTGTTTAACAACAGATTAACCCCCCCCCCCCCCCCCCCCCAATGAATCTGATATCTGCTGGAAACAATCCTTTTTTTGTAGGTAATATGGGTTACAGATTTAAGGAAATTTTTATTTCTGGAGCTCAGACTACATGGCTATTTGCTGAAAATATCACATTTTATGTGGAAAACAACCACTGGACCTGTAAAACTGACATACACACTATGTTTTTCCTCTCTTTTTTGTTTTTGTTTTAAACTCCAGTTCACTAGAGCATGGTAACTCACTTTGGCCAGCGTTACGCTGCCAGTGTCAAACACACTCTTACTACAACTAATGAGTGTAACATAAACAACAGAGACAAGAGGTCTTAAAATAGTAACCAGAAGAGATACAACTAGGAATGAAGAAATCAGAAGAAGATCACACTAGTCAATTAACTCAAGTGCATCAGATGAGACAGTGTGGCCCGCCTGAAGAGAATGCTGTGCTACCAACAGCCACAGAGAGCAATGCTGAAGAAATATAAGGAACACGCAGCAAGATGAAACCATGCAAAATATGGAATGACGGTCTCAAAAACAGTCTTAAAGAAATGAAGATCAACCTTCACAACATATCAGAAGTAGCACACAGAAGAGGAATCGCTGGCCGAACGGTTAAGAACACTGGTCTCATTCAGAAGACACAGGTCCTAATCCTTGACAAGGTAATAAAACATCTTTCTGTAGTTAAGGGAAAAGGGGGGGGGGGGGGGGAATCCTAACCTGCATAGTTCAGCTGCACTAGCCAAGTGCCCTAAATCTTCATGCTTAAATATCCCACTAGCCTGCTTATATTGCCCAAAAAGCAGTAAACACAGGCTTAGGTAAAGACCCCCCCCCCCCCCCCCTGATAAGCTAGCTGGCAGAAAATAAGACAGAAGTGAGTTCACTGCACTTCATTTTAGCCCATATTTCATCTTTATATAGTGGCTGGTCACCCACAGAGAGAGTTGCACAAAGCATGAAAGTCTGTAGCTCAAGCTATGACCGCTGGAGTCTTCGGAGTCTTCAAAACATTTGCAATGGCTAATAGAAAGCTGCAGTCTGGCCTTGAACCCACAACTTTCAGAGAACAAGGCAAATGGCTTATGTGCTTCACCATGGAGCAAGACCCACCACCAACAATACATACATGAATTAGATGAAAGGGAAGATGGATTTATAATCAGACTGCTACTGCACCACTGGTATTGGAACTCTGCGCTGGCTGCTGAAGATGGGGATGGAGCGCTTTTGGGAATGCCCCGAGTGATGTGAGGTCAGCTCTTGAATCAATTCAACTCAATGCACACACATGAATTCATTAATAAACATCCATGTACCCTTTCATGTATAGAGTGGCCTCCAAAAACAGTCAATTCAACAGTACTGAAACAGCAGCAACAAAAACCACATATTCTCTAGTTTACATACCAGACTCTGCATCTTTAGCTCGTGTGATCACAGTAGCCATCTCATCATTTAGAGATGCAACTTCATTACGAAGAAGCCTATTCTCCAGTTCTAGGGAAGACAGTTGTCGGACCTTTTGTTCATTCCCCACATCAGCGTGATCACTGTCAGGAGCGCTCTGATCACTTCCAACAGGGCTCTCTTTCATTGCATCAGCTATGACGTCCACATCAGCAGACACATTAGAGTTTGTTGGGCTGTCCTGTCTGAGATCATCCTCAGTGTTCCCACTAGCAGAGGTTTCTGAACATGCAAAAGAATGTTTATGGAATATCTGTCAACACTTAAGAGGTGAACAACAATACAAGTAGAAGGACAATAGATGAAAAAGCAACAGTTGAAGACAGTGTACCACCAAGACAAAAGACTGGGTGTGTTGAAGATCTGTTGCAGCCAACCTTCACTTCTACTTCTTCTTAGCGTTCACTGGCTGTAAGCTCTGGAGAACGTTATGGTTGTTCATCAACTTCAGAACTGTAGTCTTATGCTAGAATTTAAGTTTTATAAGCACATCTGTTTTATGGAAATTATTACTGATTGTTGCTGGAAGGTGTTATCCTATCTTGGATATATATATATATATAAATATATACACACATATACATATATATGTAAAGCTAATAATTGTTCCCAGAAGCATTAGCAACTGGATCGCCCATTGGCTCGCCGGTAGACGAGCTCGTCGCTGGTCGGGAGAGTATTTCCTCTGCCTCCTTTGATTGAATCAACACTGCAGGAGTCCTTTTCAGGGTTCTTGGGGTGTGCAATGCTAAGTCATTTTTTATAGCGCACGTAACCTAGTCACAATTATAACCCAAATCTCCCCCTTTGGGACTGCTGGTTGAATGTGATAATTTCTTTTCCTTCAGCAAAGCACCTACCTACCTACCTGTTCCTGAAAAGCGTTATCCTATCTTGGATGTACATAGTATGTATATATATATATATATATATATATATATATATATATATATATATATATATATATATATATATATATATATATATATATATATATATATATATATATATATATATATATATATATATAGGGCTGTACCGAATATTCGCTTCGTATTCGCTTCGGGGCCGAATAGTGGACCTATTGACTATTCGCTATTCGGCCGAATAGTTGCGGTTGGGCTGAATACGAATAGTAGTTACCTTACACCAGCTTCTGCATACACAGCCTTAATGCTGACAACATGGAACGATTGGTTTTGTTGAAAGCTAATGCAGCTTTAATGCATTAACTAAACTGTCAGTGACAATTTCCAAGTTTAGTTACTTGTTATAATACTTAGGATTCTTTCATTCCTAGTTATTAGTTATCACAGACTAACTGAAGGATGCAAAAGATAAAATGTTTTTAAATGTTTACTATTCTGTACAAATACTAACTAGACATGAAAAGAATTTAAATTCCGGCCACATCCAAGTCGATAATATGAAAATCAAACGAACAGAAACATATAAGTACTTGGGTGCAAACTTCAACTGCTCCAACATGCTGAGAGAAGAAATACAATCTAGAATACAATCAAGAAATAAAGAATACTATGCCCTTCAACATCTGCTAAAGTCAAAGTGTCTGTCTCGCAACACCAAGATCACAATATATAAAATGTTGATAAGACCAGTGTTACATGTGGCTCTGAAACTTGAAGCAGAAATAAAAGAGATGAGGCCTTATTACAGGTTTTCGAAAAGTCTTACGACAAATCTTTGGACCCATCAAAGATGCTAACAGCGGGGAATGGAGAGTGAGAAGCAACAACGTAACACATAATCTGTTTAAATCACCATTGATCACTGGCATCATGAGAGCTAACAGACTAAAATGGTTGGGGCATATTGAAAGAATGTCAGAAGACCAAGAAGTAAAACTGTATACACCTGAGAGAGGAAAGCGCGTAGACCACGAGGCAGACAAAAAAGAAGTTTGAGAGATAATGGCCAGCCAGACCTGCAAACAACTGGTGTCACAAATTGTGAAGAGAAGGCCAGTCAGACAGATGAATGGAGACGAGTGATATCTGCAGCAGTAAACCTCAAGAGCTCAGAATGCTAAAGAAGAAGATGACTAGCCTGTGCTACTTTATGTGAAGTAAAAGTTCAGCATACATTTGACATTATGAAGGTTTTTGTTTGGTTTTTTTAGATATATTTTATACACTATTCGTATTCATATTTGGCCAAATAGTTAGTCCCATTATTCGTATTCGGCCGAATAGTGAAAATCGCTATTCGGTACAGCCCTTATATATATATATATATATATATATATATATATATATATATATATATATATATATATATATATATATATATATATATATATATATATATATATATATCTTTGCCCAAAACAGTGTTATCAAGTGATATTTGTTGTGTGGCTGTTAATCATTAGTTCTGTAAGTCTAATCTTAGTGATACAGATACTATGATCACATACACTGGTTATCTCCTTAAGAAAGTTTCTATATTGTGTCTAAAAATTCTTAAACGGCTAAGCCACTAATCCTTCATATCCGTTTGTGCCCAATCACAGTCAATGGAACAAAACCGGCGCAGCTGCAGTGACCTGTCCCCAAGAAGCCGAATTAACAGCAGTGGTTCTGCTTACACTTGTGAAATGTTTAGGAGGTTCCTTACATGATTATATTTACTACAATTAGCAGGGAAACATACAAAATGGCTTTTTAGGAGTGTTATGTTGTCATAATTTACCCTGACTTAATAGTCGAGTAGTGACAAAGTCAGTGGATCAAGTATGAGCTACTGTATATATTTTTTAGACCTAAAGGAGTAAAATCCATTTAATTCTCTGCTCTGTTCAGATTTACTCACCTTCAAATCTGACTGAATTAAAAAAAAAAAAAATGTCAAATCATACATTAAAAATTTTTTTTATTAAAGACCAGTGTAACATGATCCCTTTTTTTTAGCATCTAAAAATTTCTGGATCACAGGTTTTTCTCCGAAAAGTTTCTGGGATAAAAAAAAAGTTAAATGAAACGAGGGTCAAACTTTTAGATATCAGACCAGAGGAGATAACAGCCAGTCATTTGTCATCTTAATTATTCAAATCAAGGTATTTAATAACATGGCTTCAAAGGAAACAAAAATATTACCTCCTACTTTGATAGCAGATGGTGGAAGAGTAATTTCTGAAACATTTTTAGCACCTCCTTCAGACTTAGGCCCTTTTGAGGCAGAGGACACAACAGAAGATGTGCTTGACTGTCGGGAATGGTGACGACTGCTTTCAGATGTCGGTCTAGCCTTCACATTACCGGAAGAGTCCTTACTATTGAGGAAATCAAAGAGGGCTTCATCAGAGTTCTTCTTTTTGATAACTTTTCCTGAAGCCTGTGAGCTCAAAGCAGGAGTAATGTTTACAGTAGGAGGAGGTGGAATCTGTGCCTTCAAAGATCCTTTCACAGACGTGGTACCAAATGCTTGTGCCGCACCTGCTTCATCTCCAGATTTGTACAAGTGAGTAGGGACACTATGCGAAGGAGTCAGAGATCCAGCTGCTGTAGCTAGAGGAGTGGAATGTGTTAGTTCAGGCTCTTGAGGTATGTGATGTGTTTCATTCAATCTCACTTCATCTGTGTGTAAGACATCGGCTGCAGACTTATCCAGCCTGTTCAGGAAATCCTCGGCTTTACCAGTCACAGCTGTAAACCACGACATTCCGGACGTTGGGCTTCAGAAGTTCAGATTATTCCAAAAATATGTAAATATCACAGAACCATATCAGTCTCTGACATTATGAAACTAATGCATGTCCTTCAGTTTTGAGTCCTATTTTTATAATGTCCTTAGATAATTGTTCTCAACTGAATATCTGCAAAACAGAATTAAAATTTTTAAAATAAATTTTCATTTTACGCTTAGATTAGAAGTTTCAGCACATGCACAAATTATCATGAACATCACCTGAAAAGGAATTTAGACACAAAATGTCATTACTCTGAAAAATAATGAAAATAAATTAAATTAAATTGTTTTTGCTCACAGGTAGAAAAATAAACAGAGTATTTTATGTGTCTTACAAATATGATAGAGTGAAGTTCTTGTCATGTGAAAAATACTGTATGTGATTACTAACTGCAAGTTTTGTAAAACAGTGTTGAGAAAAAAATCTTCAGACCCCTCATTCTTCTTCTTCATCAAAGACCTAAACTATGAAAAATGGAGAGTTATAAACAATAACTGGCATCATGAGGGCTAACAGATTGTCAGTTAAGCAAGTGTATGAAAGGAGTAGGAAGATTCAAAATGGAAGGAATCAACTCTGGGGTCAATATTAAGTATGCCTGACCTGATCATGAACAGTCAGTCACAGATGTCATGTCATTTTTGAAACGTCCTTCAACACATAAGCTTTAAGGGACAGGCATGCATCACCATACTAGGACCTTCATTCACCTATGATTTCCAATAGGTTTCACCCTTTCAAAGATTGAAAAAAAAAAATGGATAAAAGAACACAGCTCCTCTTTGGTGCATGTCAAAAGTAGGTCAGTCACCTTTAAACTGTCATTATGTCACTGTCTTCGCTTCAACTGTGATGTTCAGTGCTTAACAATCTTGACATCCTTAACAATAATACTGACAGGTTACAAGAGAAGCCCCCTCATACGAACTGTTAACTAGCCTGGAGATGAGCAATTACTCATAGCCACTGGCCACAGAGAGACAATTTATTGAAAGATACTACATAAAGTAGAACTCAAAGTATACTAAGCCCAAATGAGCACACTGCATAAGCAAATGCCATCTCTTACTATTCTGTTTATGCCTACAAGTAAAGTAAAAAGTAAAGATCCCTTATCATGCCTTAGGCGCATCAGGCATAAGGAAAGAGCATCCCATATTTTTACAGACCAATCAGCACAAGGTGGGTAATGTGGTCAGCATTACGCTGGCTGTCTTTACTTCCCCAGGACAGCCATCCTTGTACCCATTTTAGGCTGGGTCGACCTGTGACGTCCATACCATGATAAAAATCCACACAGCCAGCAGTGGGTTTCAATCGCGGTACGCTGGAATTATGAGACTTGTAACCCCTAAGCCATGGACGTTGTGTTTAAGCCTATAGTGAAAAGTAATTGAGAGCACACAGCAGCAGTATTGCAAATATTGTGTTGTTTTTCAATGATCAGTCCATTCATGATTCTTACTATGCTGTGACAATTATGAGATTATACACAAACATTCACTGATGCTGGAGAAGCTAGATGTGGTTATCACACTTCTGGGAGAAAATGAACAGTGCAGAAGTAAAAACAGATCATCATGGTCTGAAGACAAAGGTGCAGCGGGGAGCGACCAGGGGATCTTGCTATCACTCCATACTTAGAGAAAAGGCAAGAAAATCAGATGCTCCCTGCATGGGTTTCGGGACTCCATGTCAGAAAAACAAGAATACACCCACTGCTTCCCCAACAAGTATGTCATAAGAGTCAACTAATGGGGGGGGGAGGGGAGGGGGGAGGGGTCCTTCGAAGTTGGAGTGCATCTGCCTGAGAGAGAACGAACCAACAGTCTGCATACAAATAAGTCAGATCTATAAAACAAATGTGCACGCAAAACTCGGGTCCTGAAACAGGTCTAAAGTCCAGAGGTGGATGAACAGCTAGAACTTTCCGCCAGAGTTTTCCGCCAGTGAACAGGAAGAAGAAGAAGACAATCAGATGCGACTGTACCATTGGAATTTGTGCTAGCTGATGAAGATTAGGGTTGTGCTTTGATTGCAAAAAAAAAAAAGTATACAAAGGGCCAATGTTCCTTTTAGAGATGAAATAAGGTGGAGAAGAATGAAGAGGATGAGAATGATGAGTGAGGAGGACGAAAAAGAACTAACACTACACAACAGTTGCCCCTTTATTCCATCCATGGTTTTTTCAAGTGTCCCAAAGAATGTTTCACACTGAGAAGCAGATCTGCTGACATATTTCTGAAAACTGTCTAACAAATGCACAAGAAAATAAAGCATTACTGGTTTGCTCATATAAATGTATTTGAGATCAATATAGACTGCATTATTATAAGAGAAAATCAAAATGAAATATTCGGCAGACCATTTTAGGTAACACTTTATATAATGGATAGTTTAACTAGTCCCCTCCCTTCCAACCTAATCATAATACAGTAGATCAACAACAGACGGATTTTCTTTAGACAGCTGGGCTATCTTCCTAATAACGGTCCCAAATTATTGAGGCCAAAAATATACCCTAACAGAGCCTCAGTCACATGTCAATTGTGAACTTTCGGCGACTTAAATTGGGCACTACCGGTGACTTTCGCCACCGCAGAGAGTATCCCCTATGACGCTTACACAGCATGGATTGGGGGTAAACTAGATGGCTGGCACTCACGAGCAGCAGTTACAGCATCTGCTGCAGCTTCCTTCATTTTATTTGCTCGTGAGTCCCAGCCATCTAGTTTAGCCCCAATCCACGCTGCATGAGCGGCATGGCGGATACTCTTGGCGGTGGCGGTATAGTCCCCGGAAGTACGCAATTGACATGTGACTGAGGCTCTGTTAGAGTATATTTTCCACCTCGATAATTTGGGACCGTTATTCGGAAGATAGCCGACAGCTGTTCTCCTAGGCAGTCAAAGTTTGGTTCTCCTTAAAACTACGGCCACTTATTATGGAGAACGCCGGAGTTCAGTTACCTGGCCGCATTGCAATTACGGAGTGGACAAGAGGGAACGACACAAATGACGTAATTACGGTGTGTCTGCGATAGATGCACTGCTGTCATAATAGGGTTAGGGTTTGGGGTAGGGTTAGGGTTTGGGGTAGGGTTAGGGGTAGGGTTAGGAGTGACCGTAGTTTTAAGGAGTACCAATACCCTAACCCAAACCCTAACCCTATTATGACAGCAGTGCATCTATCGCCAACACACAGTAATTACCTCATCGGTTCACGCCGTCTATCGGCAACACACAGTAAGTACGTCATTTGTGTCGTTCCCTCTTGTCAACTCCGTAACTGCAATGCGGCCAGGGGACTGAACGGCGTACTCCATAATAAGTGGCCGTAGTTTTAAGGAGAACCCAAAGTTTCTGTATACACTGCTAGATAAGATGTGTACTGTATCTTTAGATGCCCTTGTGTGAAATTTGAGGTTTCATTAGTTTACAAGTGATCTTCTGTTTCTTAATTACATTTTAAATGAACTATAAAACAATATGTCACCTTCATGCATATGACTGCTACTTGCATGCAGAATAAAACAAATGTAATAGTAATAGTAATACTAATACTAATTTTGTAAAAACAGATGACCTGTAGATTTCACTTTTGTAGCTCATTATTCAACAGTTCGTTTTTCTTAATTGAAAAAATGCATCCATGTACGTAGCACCTATAGTCGTCTGCATTAAATTAATTACATCAAACTAAGCTATGTTATGATTCATCCACTTCCAGGATGTTGGGTGACTGATTCAATTCTCGGTGACTGAGATTTAAGTCCGTCGAGTTGACTCGACTCAGTTGAGTTGAGTGACATAATTGATGATGATGCTTATATTTATATGTGGCTTTTACAAGACTTCTGCAATATTAGTAATATTACAACTTACTATATTGTTTACCTACTCCATATTAGCAAACCATAAATTAATGTATATGTTTCAACTAAGTGTATTTTCAATGTTTGCTAACATCCAAGGTAGCCAGCTCCAACAAAAATAGACGGGACGTGGAGTACACTTTACGCATGTCCACAAATTGTAAACTTCCGACAGTTCAACATCTAAGTTCGTCTGCTAGTAAACAAGATAGTAACAAAACTATCTTTTAATAATTAAATTAAATACCTCATTCAACAAATTTTTTTCGTTTTGTTAACAGAGCTAGTCATAATCATAATAAAACAAGAAATTTCAGTAGGGTTAGAGTTGAATTGTTGTTTCCTTCGTATTGTTTTTGTTTTGTCCCGTTTGTTTTTTCATGTTGAGATTTTTGCTTGGCAAACCTAAACAAAACGTGCGGCTGGCAGTTGGAGACTCCATGCCATAACTGTACAAAAACATCTTCTCTTATTTTGGCACCAGGAGGACTTGTACCACCAAAGAATACACCAAAATGAAAACCGCAGCGCTTATAAGGTGCTTTTATTATGCATGCTGTAAATGCAGTTTGTCTTACTTTAAAAAAAAAATATGCAGGACAGTGAAATACAGAATCACGGAGCTGACTGGGAGTACAAATCATATGAAAATAGAATCACGTTGGCATCGGCACCGAATTCAAATTTTGTCTACCTCAGTTTGTGTGAAATGATTGTCTGATCGCCTTCATTTAGTAAAGGATTTAAATATTTACAAAGCTGCTGAAGTATTCCCGGTTCTTTATTAATATCCTCCCCCAGATTTTTAGAGGGTGGTAAGACTTGGTTTCCCCGGCTTTCTCACTTTCTGATGCTTTTACACAACGACCCCAAAACATCTAGAACTGGCCCTAACCCCAACCCACCTCCGTCCCACGAAAGAGCACAGTCTAGGTCCCACGACCACATGCAGCCTATCTGCCGACCACTGTCTTTTTCCAGACTTAATTGGACTTTTAGTGCTAGACATATTTTATAGACCAATCTTCATTCTTAGGTGATATGGTCAGCAAGGCACCACTGCCTTTGCCTTTACTTACCAGGACTCTGCCTGGTACCCATTTGAGGCTGGGTTAATATCATATGGGAGCGAGTCTTTTTTTTTTTTAAGTCAGGCTTAGTTTGGATTTCAGCCCATGACCTTCAATCTGCAGGCAAACATCTAGCTGCTACAAGACAGCAGCCTACTTTGGCACTAATGCTCAGCTTAAAATGTCACATAATAAAAACTGCTATCCTTCAAATAACAGTCCTAAATTATCGAGGCGGAAAATATACCCTAACAGGGCCTCAGTCACATGTCAATTGCGCACTTCCGTCTTAAATTGCGCACTTCTGGCGACTTTCGCCACCGCCAAGAGTATCCCCCATGCCGCTTACGCGGTGTGGATTGGGGCTAAACAAAATGGCTGGGACTCCGTAAGTTCGCAATTCAGCGGTGGCGTTATAGTCCCTGGAAGTGTGCAATTGACATGTGACTGAGGCCCTGTTAGGGTTTATTTTCTGCCTCGATAATTTGGGACCGTTATTCGGAGGATAGCCATAAAAACTTTACAATATGAAGTGTCAATTCTTAAGCATAGCTGCAGGCATGTCCAGAACCATATACATGATGTAGTATCAGTGAAATCCACATAGCTTTGCTATACTTACCCAGAGGTCGAACCATCTAGTCATGAACATCAAGGTAAAGAAGTGAATTTTATCTACTTGGAAACAATGGATTTTGACAGGCAGAAAGCTACATTTGAGTTGAAAATAGCTTGTATCAGTCATTAGACACATATGAGCGTGACCATGACATATGAGGTGTGGTGACCAGTTCCATTCTTCCCTAAAAAAACTAGTATCAGGTGTAAAATCCATACTCCTGTATTGAGCAGAAAGAGAGAGAGAGAGACTAAAGAAATTATTAATTAATAAACTACAGACATTTATTGTACAGTTTATGTTAATTAATAGATTTATTGGAATTACAGAATCACTGAAGTGTATAACCTGAGAAAACTAACACATTCCAGGGGATTAAGAAGTGAAGAAAAGATGCCAGCACTGGACAAGACATAGTGTATTGGCACCTTTCCAGAGGATAGTGTTATACGGTTCTGTAGGGAGGTATGGGGATGACACTCCGTGTTGATGACAAGTTTGACTAGCAAAACCAGCCTGAGTTCAGAAGAATTTTGCACAGAAGTGCATGAGATTTCAGGGTAATTCTGAAAGTATACAATTCAGAGAAGCAAGCGGATCACCACAGTCTGGTGAGAGATGCAGCGGGGAGTGACAAGGGGATCTGGCCGATGCTCACCGCTCAGAGGAAAGGCAAGACGGATGTATAATCAGAGTGCTACTGGCACCATTGGTACTGGAACTCTGCGCTGGCTGCTGATGACTTAAGTGGACTCGACTGTACTTATGTCCTTCATGTCCCGCTTGCACATATCTTTGATTTGTAGTAGACATGGATCCACCTCAGTATTTATACCCTTCGTGTGCCGCTTGCGCACATCTTTGAATCATAGTAGACATGGATCCACCTCAGTACACATATCCTTCATGTTCCGTGTGTACATATCTTTGGATCATAGTAGGAGCCGACCCTGACATCTTCTACTTGTCTGTAATTCGCCATAGAAGATGACCTTAGGGACTCTTACCATCCTCCAAGTGACTACCCATCTCAGCCTTCAGGACTAGGCATTAAAAAAACTGTTGTGATACCTGCACCTATTGAAAAACACAGTGGGGATTTGTCCTGATTTAGTGGCTGGACGTTCACTTGCGGATCGGAAGGTCATGGGTTTGGATCCTGACAGAGGCAGATTTTTTCCAGCAATGACTTGGCTCCCAGGTCAACCCAGCCTTGAGAAGGTACCATATGCTGTACTGGGAGGTAAAGGTGGTCGGCATAATGCTGGCCAAATCATCCACCAAGGGCCAATTGGTCTGTAAACTATAGGTCTAGCCCTATATGCTCAATGTGTTGTCCATGGCTTTGGCCTTGCAAGTCTGACCCGTAATTCCAACGTTCCACTGCTGGCTGCGTGGATTTCTATCATTGTATGGGATGTCGTAGGTCTACACCTTTTTTCCACTGTATTATTTGAGTGCAACAACATGTGTGTTTCTACATCTTACTGCTGCTGCAGCATCTACAGCAGCTTTTTCTTGATGTGTATGTCTGCGTTGGTGTGTTTCTATGTCTTTTGTGTCAGTTGACTGTAACAACATTTATTCTGTTTTGCTTATGAAAATTGAAAAAATCAAATTATTACCTGATTATAACGCTTCTCGAATATAGCGGAGGCAAAGACAGCTGCTTCAATATGATGTGTTGCATCGCTGAGGGTCATGAGATTGTTGCGTTAGCAAATCTGCGGCCTATGTATAAAGGTGAAGTATTGTTAACTGAAGTGCTGTGTGAATGTTTCTGGTTGTATATAACTTCTCAAAGGCCATTGTATTGAAGGGAATGATGCTGACAAATAGATCCATTTTCTAGTGTTCTAGGGCCCCTTTATAAAAAAGAGGGTAGTGTAGGGAGTGATAGACCCACTGCCCCCTAACAAGCATGTTGTAAAAAGGCAATAATTGTAGTTTTGTTGAAATTAGATGCAGATGCAGGTGCAGACCAGATGTAAACCAAAATACAATGTGCCAACCACCATTTTAACAGAAAACGTTTTATTGTTCTAAAATTAAGGATTGTTTTCCGTGTCTAAGCATATGGTGCCTGGCCCCATATTTTATGTATAGACCAGTGTTCCCCAAACTGTTCTTAGTCGTGGCGCCTTTTTTAATGAAAATTTTTCCACAGTGCCCTAACCTAAGTAAAAGTATGACTATTCGTATGTAAGAGATAAAAAAAAAACTCATATATCTTAGAATATTTCCCGGCATCCCTGTGAAGAGGTCGTGACTCCCTGGGGCGCCACAGATCGCAGTTTGGGAATCACTGGTATAGACTATTCATTTTCGGATGAGGGATGTGGTTAATGTTGCAACACCTACCTTGACTTTCCATTTAGGCTAGGTTGACCAGGGAGCAAGGTAATTGTTTTTGCTTAGAAACAAATGACCAGTGGGTCAGTATGATAGTGTGCTAGTCACTGCGCTATAAAAGCTCTTTTTTTTAAAACCAGTTTCCTCCCCGTATGGGTTCCCTATTATAGGAAAAACAAGAATAGAACCACTGCCTACCCAAAAGCATGTCATAAGAGTCGACCAATTGGGAGCTTCCTTTGAAGTCGGAATGCATCTGCTTGAGAGGCAAGTAACCAAAAGTCTGCATACAATTTAGTTAATCTGTTAAACGGATGCACACTCAGGTTCTGGAACAGGACTGCAGTCCAGAAGTGGACGAACAACCAGAACTTTCCACCAAAGTTTACAGCCGGTGAACGCGAAGAAGAAGAAGAACCAGTTTCCTTAAATATTCAGACACCAAGAATGGATTGTAACATTAAGCCCTTTGCGAATGGCTGGCCTAACCTTATCTTTGTGCCAGATCATGCTGGTGTTCAATGCAGCAAACAGGCAGATAATCTTGCAGACACTGTTGTTGCTGTGGCGGGTCTAGAACTGGACAGAAATGATGTTATGAATACCATTTGCACCACTTACCATGAAGACAAATATAGCAAAGGGCATATCTTCCTGTCCCTGTCTAGTCTGATGGATATGGAGGTGCGACCTTGAGCTGCCAGAAATGAACATTTCACCAAGATGACAAGTTTGATTAATCAACACAGAGCAGATGTCATCAGCCATTTGTCGCTTGTGGAGCTTTTGAGGAGGAGATCGGAGCACCTATGGGTCTGTCAGGAGTGCTGTGATGATAAATCTCACTAATCACACAGTTTGTATATGTGTGTGTAAGTTAAAAAAAAAAAGAAAGGAAACAAGAGTCTAGTATGATCATTTGTATGTTAGGGCATATTGGGCATATGATGTTTAGCATGTTTTTTGTGACTGCTTTGTATACAAGGGTTTTTTTATCTGAGGTGCACCATGCAACCTATGTCTTCATCAATAACATGGAAGGAATTGTTAACAGGCAGCCAATATTAATTATACTTTTTTGCCATTTATAGAACACACAGGACTGACAGATGATTCCTCTGTTCTCTTCTGTGTGCAATTTTTGTACATTTCCTTTGTGGAATCTAGTCAGCACATCTACCTTTTTTCTTTTTTTAAGTGTTCATCATGGAATTTCTCTTGAACCTCCTAGTTTCCTTATTCTATTTATTTCCTAACTAATTGCATGTTTTGAGATTCTATATCTCCTGTTTCAGAATTTTCCCTGTGCATCTTCTTTCTTTTATAACAGTTATCCGTGGTTGTGAGGACATTTAGCTAATTTCTGCACCTTTTTAGAATTAATACAAAGAAAAATGTGCAGTTTTCAAATTTAAATGAACTTTTTGCATATTTGATGTGTTTTTTTTTTTTCTTCACATTTCAGATGAGCTAGATAGTTACATGTACCAGACAGTGGGTCACACAGCCATCGACTTATATGCTGAGGCATCTGGCTTGCCTCTGTTTAAACGTTTGATCAAGGGCTCTAGCTTGTCCACTGGATCCACCTATGAGCCTCACAGTGAGGATGAAGTTGAAGATATGTTCCATCTGCTTGAGAACATTAAGGTTGTTTTTAAAATTGACTATTTATGCATGATAAGAAAAGAAAGCATGTTACATTTTCTCATGCATTTATAAACAAAAAGCCACTATATTGGAGACCAGATGTTATCATCAGTAGAAATTAATTGGAGAATATTAACATATAGAAAGATAATTTGGAGAAGAATATAAACACCTGGGAAGATAGTTTGGAGAAGAATTTTAATGTCTATAAAGATAGTCTGGATAAGAATTTTAACATCTAGAAAAATAGTCTGGAGAAGAATATTAGCAGCTAGAAAGATAGTCTGGAGAAGAATTTTAACACCTAGAAAGATAGTCTGGAGAAGAATTTTAACACCTAGAAAGATAGTCTGGAGAAGAATATTAACACCTAGAAAGATAGCCTGGAGAAGAATATTAACACCTAGAAAGATAGTTTGGAGTTGAGAGTTAACCATAGAAATATAGTTTGGAGAAGAAAACCTAGAAACATAGTTTGGAGAGGAACATTAACATCTAGAAAGATAGTTTAGAGAAGAATGTTAACATCATGAGAGCTACACAGTACATTAAAAATTAAAGTTGTCAGATGCCATATATACTCAACTTGTGTAGCACAAAACCTGGGCAATAATAATTAATCAGTTAGTTAAAAAGTTAAACTGAGGCCCTAATATATATATATATATATATATATATATATATATATATATATATATATATATATATATATATATATATATATATATATTCTATTTGATGTGGCATCTTTGTGTCACAAAGTTTTGTGTTTGTTATTTATTCACAGGATTTTAACATATTTTTTGTTTCACTTCTTATTGCCATGCCTTGCTGCAGTCAACATTAAAAAAAATTATATAAAACCTATATGTAACAGAGGGAGCCACCGTGATGTCATCATTAGACACTTGACTGCAGATCTGAAGGTCATGGATTCAGGTCCTGACGGAGCCAGACTTTTCTTTAAAAAAAAAAAACCTCGGCTGCCAGGTGGCCCCAGTTTTAAATGGGTACCAGAAAAGTCCTGGTATGTAAAAGTGACCGGCGTGATGCTGACCACATCACACACTGAGTGCCCCTTGGGCAATAAAATATAGGTCTAGTCCAACGGTGCTCGACCTGTGGGTTGTGACCTTTTTTTTTGTGTGTGGATCAAAGGAACTTTTCACAGGGGTCGCCAAAGACGCATGAGAAAACACATATTCCTTAAAGTTATGAAGTTGTAACAAAAATAATTGTATTTTTTGGGGGGTCACCACAACATAAGGAACTGTATGAAAGAGTAGCCACAACATGACGAACTAAGAAAGAGTCACGGCACTAGGAAGGTTGAGAACCACTGGTCTAGTCCTATATGCCCAGTATGCATGAAGATGTAACACAATGTTATTGATTAGCCTCTGCATTTGATTTCTAAAGTATTCCTCATATTGCAGGAGGAAATGCAAATTGAGGCAGTCTCAGTGGGAGCCATTTTTTCTGATTACCAAAGAGTCCGAGTAGAAAATGTGTGAGTGAACTATTTTACTCTTAGTGTATATATTATTGTATGAATGAATGAATCAAGAATTGACATCACGGCATTCGGGACTTTCCCACACATGCTCCATGTCTGATCTCAGTTGCCAATGAAGAGTCGAACATGCTTATTGTACCAGTCTGTGTATTCTTGTGCTTTTTTCAAGTTTACTTTGGGAATATGCTTATTATTTTTTGTTTTTTAAGGGTTTAAAAAAAAAACATGCCTTGTAGCTTTGCAGGATGAAATTACACCCTGTTTTTGAAAATCAGGAAGCAATCACTCAGTTGCCATCTCCACAATAAAAATTGGCTGCGGTAGATCTCCAACACACTTCTGCCCTGGCTGTACATTCTCTGTTTGCTGTTTGCCTGTCTTTTAATGTTATTCTCCCACTTGTATTGCTGTCTAGCTCTTGCTTGTCTTCAAACTTTCTGTACTGTATGGTTTCTTTTAGAAACTTTTTTCATTCCTAGTCTCATCAGAACCGCTGTATTTGATTGTTTTTGTTTCCATGAACTATGATCTAGCCTTCTGTGTATTTGACATTGTGCGCACACTGCTGTAGCCAAGTGAACAAAGTTGGTTAACAAATAGAGGTACTAAAATAAGAATGCAGTGAGCTCTGTGTGAATATATATGAAAAGAAAGATAGATGAACCATCTTTATACGGAATATAATATTCGATAACCAATTTAAATGCCAATTGTAGGTCAAAGCATTGATAAATTCGAAGTAGAAAGTTCTGTGCTGAAATTTCAGTGTACATTTACTTAGTTCCTCTTGAGTCCTCATAACTGAATGCAGCAAGGAATATATTTGTATCTTCTTCTTCTTCTTCTCTTCCACCTTTTACCTCATCGAAGTGTTGGGGGGAGATGTCATGTTCGTTGATGAGCTCTGTCAAGAGCACTATTAAGACTGATGTTCATTTCTGTAAGGCTGTTCTTAATGCCATCACTCCATATTTTCCGAGGTCTTCCACTCGCACTATACCGTTGTAATGTTTTAGTGTGGCTCCCTGTGGCGGATAGTACCAGGGCATTCTTGTTAGGTGTCCAAACCAGTTCATTTGTTGTTCTTTGATAACCTGTAAGACTGGCTTTATTCCTAGCATTCGTCTGATTTCATGATTTCGTATTGTCTTTCCTTGAAACTCCTGCAGCTCTTCTAAGGCATTTCATCTCTGTTGTCACAATTTTACGTTTATTGGAGGATGTAAGTGTCCACGTTTGGCATTGATAGCATAGTGTTGTATATATCTTTGTATGAACATGAAAAATGAAGGCAAAGTCAAGTACATGAACATATTCCAATTGGTCGCCTGGTCTGAAACCAAACCTGTGCTCTTCAGTGCACATGCCACACAGCTGAAACACTTAACCACAAAGATTCCTAAGTTGTTTTAATGTTATTAAACAATGCAAGATTGTCACAGGAAGTTTGCTTAATGTTCTATATATTTTACCATGCAGTTGTGATCGCCTTGGACTAAAAGTATTGTCATATTTATGGAGACGTGATCAAGAGGAACTGTTAAAAGAAATGATAGCCTGTGGTGTTAAAGCTAAAATAATCAAAGTTGCTGCAATGGGTAAGTCCAGACATATGTCAGTAAATATTGTCTGTGATATTCAGATCATATCTTTTTCTGCTTTCATCCTTAAAAGGGGGTTGGCACATTATCTTGTGATTTACAGCTAAGCTGTGATATCTGCACCTTGTGGCACAACACATTCAATATATCAATCAACAAACCTCCATATTAACATTTTATGACATTTGTGTTAAGGGTAGTTGGGTCGGTCCTTTCCTACCTTCTGAAACCTTTGTCACCATCTTGCATGTTTGCCTTCCATTTTTTGTCTCTAGTATGGTTTGCTGCAATAGTATCCCTTTTTTGTACAAAAAAAAGATGCAAACAATAGATTGCCCAATTTATTGCCTGGCAACTTCGCTGTATCTCGCTGCTACTTCAATGTTTACGTCCCTGAGATAAATAAAATCTCAATCTTCATAGCAGACTAACAGCAGATTGTAGATACCCCATTCATCCTCTAAAGAAGTTATAATGGCTGGGCCAGCCCACTGTAACCTGTAGTTCTGTGTAGTTAAGATCTTGCGTGAGATAGAAGAAGCACAATGAAAAAAAATGTAAAGTAGAAGAAAAACTTACAGCAGACAAAGCACAGGTCAGACATTCAAGTACTCTGCAGTTCAAGCCCAAGTGGACCTTCACCATGGACTAGGCCTTATCAGGACTGCCAGGTAGTAGCGGAAACCTCAACTACTCAAAGACCTGGCAGACATTGGTGGCCCACATAAATAGGAAAACTCAGGAATAACCATATGCCACATAGAAAGAACAAAGAAAAGCTGCAAGGACTATTGACCATGAATATAACCGAAGCCTTCAGAGAAATGGGTTGAGTATGGTCTAAGTTTTCACTCCCCCCCCCCCCCCCCCCCCCCGTGAAAGATCTAATGAACGATCTTCCCTGAATAGGCCAGATCTATGCTTATTAATACTGTTAATGACTTCCATGCCTTGATAAATTTGTGGTTTAGCCTCATATTTTATAGAACATTTGGCACTCGATGTATGATGTCATTATTCCAGTAGCAGCCTTACTCTCACTTAATTTGGTTATTTCTAGTTTGAATACTGACATCCCATTGATTATCAGGTTTGCTACCAAAGAAGCACTTGCTGATGGACCTGGAGGAGATCCTACCTCATATGTTGCTTATGGTAAGTTTCTTAGTTTCATTAGGCATATCGTTGATAGGTCAGTATCAGCTAAGTACTCAAAAAATCACCTTTGAACATTGCGATCAGATGAATATTGTGTAGTTGCATTGCAATCAGATCAAAATTATGTCGTAGCATTACTATGTTGCTGCATTGCGATCAGATGAAAATTTTGTAGTTGCATTGCGATCAGATGAAAATTGTGCAGCTGCATTGCGATCAGATGAAAATTGTGCAGCTGCATTGGGATCAGATGAAAATTGTGTTGCTGCATTGGGATCAGATGAAAATTGTGTTGCTGCATTGGGATCAGATGAAAATTGGGAAGTTGCATTGGGATCAGATGAAAATTGGGAAGTTGCATTGGGATCAGTTGAAAATTGGGAAGTTGCATTGCAGTCAGATGAAAATTATGTAGTTGCATTTCTGTCAGATGAAAATTATGTCGTGGCATTGTGGTCAGATAAAAATTGTGTAGTTGCACGACCTGTTTGGAGTGGAGGAATTAACACATGTACCTTTGGCATTTTGTCAAGTGACGAAAACAGCTCTGAAGCACATTGGTAACAATATACGTAAAGGATTCTTGTTCACACAGTGGAATATATTGTGTTTATGGTATATGTCCACATTTCTATAGACTCTCAGATGGATCATGTGGTCAGTATCATGCTAGCAGCCTTTACTTCCCATAACATTTTCCAGAACACCAGATCATATGCACTTATGACCACACACACAGAAATAGTAAGTAAAGAGGAATAGCTACACTGGAAGGATCAAAAAGTTTCTGGAACTAATGCAGCAGAGTGTGTATTTTTCACTTTATGTACAATAGTTTTACGTACATAGATTGAATGTTTGTGATTTATCTAAGATTCATATAACCCTTTTGAATGAAAACAATGTTGGGAACTATGACCAGTTTGAAATACGACCTGTGACCTGAACTGACCTTGGTCGTAGATCAAGGAGACTGCATACTTATTTAGGCCTGGCTGACCAGGGAGTCCAGGTCAGTTTTTGAGTCTCTTCCTAGGTAGGGGTTTGAACACATTGCCTTCTGGCCAACAGGCGAAAAAATGCTAGCCATTGTGATACTGCTGTCACTTCCTTATGTCGCATTCGTGTAATAATAGACAGGGCACATACCCTGCCAGAGTGATACAAAAAATGGTGTCATCTGTGAGAACAGGATGGCCGTGTTTTAATAATCAAACTCCAAGTTTTAAAAACAAATGTGTTTGCAGATACTGCTGATAGTGTTAGATTCAGCATCAAGACAGGCTAGTTGGAAGGGTATCACTGATCTTATTCACTTTGTTTCTTACAGACAGTTGTATTTCATATAGACTGTTATGTTTCATAAAGCGTACTCCTTGCATAATATTTTCAAATTTGAGTACCAGCATTACAAGTTTTGAAAGTTAATGACACATCACAATTGTCAACAAAAGTATGCCATAGTCCTGTTGTTCTTTCTCTCATGTCAGATGTATAAAATATTTGATTTAATTTCCTCGCGCAGGATAGTTAATGATACAATTTTTTTCATCCTCTACTTCATCTTTGTCTTCACTGCTGCCCAATGTTAATTCATTGCCCTGAATCTCCAGCACTTTTTCCTAGGCCCTAAATTTGTCTGACAAGACTACCCTCCTCCTCCTCCCTCAAGCCGAACCACCCCAGTGCTAAATTTTTGAAAGACTAGTCTAGCCACTATGTCGTGGCTAAAAGAAAAGGACAGTTAATATCTAGACTTAAAGTTTGATTGGAGATAACAGCGAAATATACTTTTTATGAAACCTTATCTTCATGGGACATCATATATATATATATCTCTCACTCTCAAGGTACTAAAGGGAAATAACTCTAGGGAATGTTAACTTTTCATGATTAAGGCATTGGTTATCATAAATATGTAGAAACCATGTTGCAAATGGTAAAGTTGACCTGGACAGTACAACCAGAATGACATCTACAGATTTCACCCCTCTACTTGTCACCGCTAATAAAGGTCCAACCCTGTATGCCCAGTACGCCTGATGGCAGGGACAAGGGTCCTTGTCACTTTTTGGGAGAAGTCCTTCTGGCAGCTCACAGACAGATGCATGCATTTTCAGTTTTATAATATAAGATTGCTCTTTATGTTTCCAGCACTCGGAATATGGCTTAAATATATGTGGAGAAGGAGGAGAGTATGAATCATTTGTATATGACTGCCCCCTCTTCAAGAAGAAAATTATCTTGTGAGTAGTTTTCTTTTTCTTCTTCTTCTTCAGTAATACATTTATTGATTTTCTTGCATTTACCCAAATGCCATGGTGATCTTGTGTGGTTAGTATACTGGCTTAACAATGCTTTAGTCCAAGGTTCTAAAGCCAGTAAGGACCCTGTTCACACCACTTTTGGTGCATTCGTGCATTCATGCTTAACCTATATTTTGTACAGACTAATCAGTACCCAGAATGTGATAAGGTCAGTATCATGCCAACAGCCTTGATTTTCAGTAACATTACCTGCAACCATTTTAGGCTGGGTCAACCTGAGAGCAATTGTAAATTTTGAAAAACTTCACCTAAGTATGGATTACTATGGCCAGAAGTTTCCAGGCATTTTTTTCTTCTTTCATCAATGAGGCTCTGAAGTGAATCTATTCTTGTAAAATGGTCACTGAAGAATATTTGTTCGGGGGGGGGGGGGGGGGGGTTACAGTTACAGACAGGGATGCCGAGGAAGGTAATACCTCCCACCCCTTACTTCAATTTTAACATGGCCTGATATCTGTGGAGACTTGACATCTCCCACTGGTGTCTGTGAACTCACAGCATTTAAGAAGAACCAAACTGGCAAGCTCGAACTAGAATGAGTTGAGATCTTCCAGAGGTCCTGCCTTCTTAAGACACTATTTCGGCTGTACACTCCAGGATATGCCAGGGTTTGCTGAGTCTGCAGTGGCTGGTGGAGGCAGAAGCATGGACCGGGCCGACATAGAGAATCTACTGTGTTCCATCGGCATTGAGGTACAGGAGACACCGGCGATGAGCCACTTTTTTGTTTCGGGAAATTGGTATTAAATGAGTACAACCATGCAGAAACCAGTTGCGGGACAAAGAAAGGAGATATGCCAATCAACTCCTGCTGGGTACGTTGAGCATGGAGACACTGAGATGACTGTTGCATTTGAGGATGGAACATTAATGAGTAGGTCTGATGTGCTAAGATGTCAGTACGGATAACAGGTAACTGGTTTCTATGAAGAATTCAACATCTCCCACCCTTATCTGTAAAGAATAAATATCTCTAACACCAAGGTGCTAACTGGTGTAGCATTGTCTTTACCTAAGGGACATTATTCTGTTGTAAAAGCTGAGAGCTCTTCAGCTTTTCCCATTGTACATAAACCTGTTCTTGCTAAATAGAATAATAATAGAAGGAGGAAGAGAAGAACGGGAGGAAGATCTAAGATTGCTTCAGGATGTACGTGTTTTCTTGACCAATTTACCAGTTGTTATGCATGACTTAAGCATGTTGTTTTGATTGAGTCTTTATCAATTTATTTCAGTAAAAAAACAGAGATGGTGATGCACTCAGCTGACACTATTGCTCCTGTTGGTTACATCAACCTCAAAGAATGCAAACTTGAAGATAAAGAATTGGTAACACAAAACTTACATTTTTTTCATCTTTACAGTTTATGTACTATTTTGTTGCAGTATATAATCACATATATGACTTTGTTGCAGTATCTAATCTGTCATGTACTTCTTTGTTGCAGTATCTAATCTGTCAAGTACATCTTTGTTGCAGTATATAATTTCATATACAACTTTGTTGCAGTATATAATCACATATACAACTTTGTTGCAGTATATATTCTCATATACAACTTTGTTGCAGTATATAATCACATATACGACTTTGTTGCAGTATCTAATCTGTCATGTACTACTTTGTTGCAGTATCTAATCTGTCAAGTACTGCTTTGTTGCAGTATATAATTTCATATACAACTTTGACAAGAATAGACCCCGACTAACTGGGGGTTTTCTTTGAAGTCAGAGTGCATCGGTCTGAGAGGCAAGGAACCAAAAGTCTGCATACAAATAAGTCAGACCTGTAAAACGGATATGTACGCAACACTCAGATTCTGGAACAGGGCTCAAGTCTAGAGGTGGATGAACAACTAGAACTTTCTACAGGTTTTTACAGCCAGTGAACACAAAGAAAGAAAGAGACTACACATGCATCATCATCATCATCATCACAATCTAATCCTCCATTCAGTTCTGTGCAATCATTTTGCTGTCATGGATGGAATGCAGTCCTGCAACCTTGGCCTCTCAACAATGTTCTTCTTAGGGTTTCTCATTATTTCCTCAATCCATTTGTTTCTCCTTTCGGTGTCTGTTTAGTGATTCTCTGTCGGCTTCTGCTCATGATGTGCCCAATGAATCGCCATATTCATTGTCTTTTAACTGATGATACAAGCAGTTATCCAGACATTTCTCGGTGCTTTCCTAATATCTCAGGGTGACGTCACAGGACAGTCCAATATGTTTTAGGGTGGTAAGAGCGAGCTTCCCGGCTTTCTGATTCTTTTAACTACCCCAAAACATCTACAACTGGGCCTAACCCCAACCCACCTACAGCCTAGGTCCCATGACTGCATGCAGCCTATCTACCACCCCCTAAAATATTTGACTGTTAGCGGGGAGATATTGGGTTTGAACCCATTTCTCTTATTCCTTCACCTATCTTGAATTCATTCCATTTAATATTCATTAATTTCCCCAGGCAGTTGTTTTAAAATGCATTTAGTTTTCATTAAATATCTTGAATGTTTCTACAACTTTCAGTACCATCTACTATAATTGAAATAACATTAGAATAAAAAACATCACTTGGTTTTAAAACTGTAATTTAGATCTCTAAATTTTGTTCAGGCTTTGAAAAAGGCTGCTGCTTTGCCAGTGCATATCATAATATCTTTCTCTTTCCTTGGCAATCGAAACTGCTAACTTTATACCTGAACTAAGTTGTCTTTTCATAACTGATTTGTAATCTGACCCAAGATGTTATAATTACTAAATCATCTGTTTTTCTTTGCATGTCATTGCAGTTCTTACTTAATAGATTGATGTATCCCTATTTATATTGTATATATTTTTATTATTTTATGCAATGTTGATGCAGTTATCAATTTTTACAGGATGACAGTATATCCTTGAGAGACACAATTTTACAGCTTCCAATTATGACTACAACTAAATGGGTGGAAGAGCATGTGCCAGTTTCTCTTAACAATGTAGAGCAATCTGCTGGAGGGGATACAGAAACCATGGGGTTGGTCATGTGTGTGCCGGACATGAAAATAACAGGTTTGATTGTGTTACACAGTAACTTTGTGTGTGTGCCAGACATGAAAAAAGCAGGTTTGATAGTGTTACAGTAACTGTGTTTGTGTGTGCCAGACATGAAAATAACAGGTTTGATAGTGTTACAGTAACTGTTTTTGTGTGGTGGACATGAAAATAACAGGTTCAGTTGTGTTATATAGTAACTGTGTGTGTGCCAGACATTAAAATAATAGGTTTCATTGTGGGTTACTGTGATTGTATTTGTGACAAGCTGGATGTTGTGAGGGCCCTTTGGGTGCGAGTGAACAGTGCCGAGGAACAGATAGATCATTACGGTCTGAGGAAAATGGCACTATGAGGAGTTATGAGGGGATCTGGCCGACACTCTGGGGAGGGGCGAGATGGATATACAATCAGACTGTCACTGGTACCATCGGAATTTTAACTCTTCGCTTGCTGCTGAAGATGGGGACGGGGTGCTTATGGGAGTGTCCCGAGTGCTGTGATGTTGATTCTTAATCCAACATTCATTCATATGAAAATTACACATGTATGTTAATATTATGCTGTTGATATGTCGTTGTATGTGTGTGTTACTGTTTGTGGATGATGTTGGAGTAGTGTTTTATGTGTACAGGACATCTAAATTACTGGTTTGATTGTTGATTACTGTGACTATTTATGGATTTTACCATGTTCTGGGTGATATTACAGCAGTGTTTATGTGTGCTAGGCAGGAATATGTCGGAGTTCCACTTCATGGTCTAGTGCTTTTATATGAAATCTCTTGAAAAAATATCAGAGCATAATTTTTTTTTGGTTAAACCTCACAAACAAATCAAGCCCAGGAGGTGTCCTCCCGTGAAAAGAGAGTAGGATACATGCATGAATTTGTACCTAGCCACAAAGAGCATCAGTTTGTCCCTTTTAGTTAGTTTGTGTAATGAGAGCCGATTTGGAGTTTCATCTGCCACAAAATGATGGAGCAGCTTGGGCAGTGATGAGTATACAGCATGGCTATCATGATCATGTGCCTTGCCGACTGGCGTGGGCAATCATACCTCTCCACAATCTGTGATCTCCTGCAGCATGTATCAGTTTGTGTGCCGAAACACCTCGATGCTATGCAACAAGACTGTCAAGAATCTTCTCTCTTTGTCTTCCTCTATCCCTCCTTCCACAGATCTTTACAGTGGTGACAAGTTCCATTTTCCCTCTTCTCATAACATGGCTGAAAAATGATGACTGTCTCCTTTTGATGTCTGTGATAAGTTGTCTTCGGGCTCCCGCCTCTTTCAAAACCTCTTAGTTGCTCTTTTTAGCTGTCCAAGGTAATTTAAGCGGCGTTCTGTAAAACCACATCTCTAAGGCCTCAAGAAATTGTTTGGCATGCCTACCGATTATCCAGGATTCACAGCCATATGTTAAAACTGGATGTATGTAGCAAGCAAGAATTCTTTTTCTAACTCTCAATGACAAAGATTTATTGCAGAAGATGTTCTTTATTTTATAAAATGCAATTTTATAACATTTAAAGTACATGGCTATACCCAAGTTAAACACATTTGAACAATTCAACATGTTTATAACAATGATGCTGAGAGCATGACTCTGAGGAGTGGGTCAATACTTCAAAGATGGTGGCACACTGGTGGAGAGCGGATTATGTTTCATTTGCCCCTCAACAAGTTTAAATAATAAGATCATTGACCCGAAAATGACTTTGTTTGTACATAACCATAATTTCACCACCCAGGAACTTAATAATTATGTTTTGATAAGCATACTTCATTACACACCTTTTTTTTTTGATGGATGATCTGGTCATGAAATTTGTGTCAGAACTGTTAACATAGTGCAGAAGTTCATGACCACATACCCATTGAGTTTCAAATGTCTTTTAAAATATGAGGCTAGCGCCATATACCAAATATACCCTAGAAAAGGTTATTTTAGTTACTTTTTTAAATTGTATTTCTAGTCTTGGTGTTAAATGTCATGTACCAACTTGCTCCAATTTTAAAACACCCAGCTATCCCAACAGAGACAAAAACACAAATTATAAATACAATATTTATACTGACTTTTAAGATACCAGTGTCAGACTTGGACATTGAAAGAAGAACATGAAAGAAAACTAACCACCTGAGAGATGAGATGTTTGAGAATGGCTGTGAATAAAACCAGAAGAGATTGAATGAGAAATGATCACAAGAACTGTTGGAACAGCACCCATCATAATGTTTATTGAGAAACAAAGAATAAAATGGTTTGTCCATCTAATGAGAATGAAACCACAAAAGGCAGGCCAAGACTTCAAAGAATACGGACTGAAGGAGTCACTGACACCTTGAGACTGTATAACATCACGGCATATCAAGTGACAGAACGCGCCCTGGCTCGGGTGCAGATCGTCTGATGAACTGTGACGCCTAGCGGCATAAGCAGATATTGACAAAAGAAGAAGAAGGTGTTAAACTTGGTATCTTGTGAATCACACCTGTACTTTTCTCCAGTAGGCATTTGCATGGTGTTTTTTCTCTCTTTTAAACGCTATTGACTAGCCATTCAACAAGTTACATCAATAATAAATAAACTGCTTATTTGTTGACTTCAGCATTATTCAACATTATGTATCAACATTATGTATTTTAGGGGCAGAGGAGGTGAGAGTTCGCATTGTTGATGACAACTTCCATGTGAGTGGAGTTATAGCCCCTGTATCTGATGACATAGATGTGAAAGATGCCAGTCGTGAAGCTCTCACCACTTTGATAGGTAACTGACATATGAACTTCATGTTTGTATTTTCATGGGCCTGAGCATTGTCTGTTTTTTGCATCAACATTATACTTGTTCATTGGCAGCTAGATGCACGCCTGGGGATCGGAAGGTCGTGGGTTCGTGTCCTGACGGAGCCAGACTTTGTTTTCTTTCAGAAATGACTGTGCCCTTCAGGTCGACAGAGCCTTGAGTTGGTACCTAGTGCAGTCCTGGGAAGTAAAGGTGGCCGACATGATGCTGACATCACCCGCCAAGTGCTGATTGGTCTATAAAAATCTAGGTCTAGCCCTATATTCCCAATACGCCTAAAGGCGTGGAAGGGGGAAGTTTTTTTTACATTATACTTGTAATTGTTTTCCCCTGTCTGTTTTTGCAGCAACATTATACTTTTTATTGTTTTCCCCCACTCATTTTAATGCTACCGCTGAAGACACATTACTTTCAAAGTGACAGTCACCTGGTTCTCACTAAATAATCACTTTTTGAAAACACCAAAGAGGTTTATCTTACTAATACAATAGAAACTGGTTGTAACAGGGGCATTAGTATGGCTGAGTACTCAAGAGTTTACACATGTGTGAATACTTGTTGACTTAATGAATATGCTTGAGAAAATTCAGGCCGAGTTCATTAGACAAGAATGGATGGTATTGGTAAGCACTGAGCGAATGGCTGGCATAACCTTCGTCTTTGTGCCAGGTCACATGGGTGTTTGAGGCAACGAGCATGCAGATTATCTTAAGATACTGCAGTTGCAAGGGCTGGTAGGGGAGCTGCGTGGTCTCGAGGCATGGCATCCGCCTTGAATGCTGGAGGTCCTGGGTGCAAGCCCTAGTGAAGGCTGGGATTTTTTCACAAAGACTTCTAGTAACTTGCCCTGGACTCTAGGTAGTAAGATCGAACGCCCGTGTGCATTGTTGCGCAGTATCCCTTGGCAATTGGAAATTTAAAAAAAATCTACCCAAAGTATTTCAGGATCCTCGCCGGTGCTACAGAGTTCATGCACTGCGCTGAAATTCTTCGTACTCAGTCTTGGATCAGAAGTAGAACGGAGCACTTATGGGTTACTACCCTTGTGTCATGATGTTGATCCGCCGTCTAAACCTAGCCAAGGGTAGGACCACTTGGCGTGAGTTGGTTAAGGGTCTGCGCTTCACTGGGAGGATAAAGGATGGAAAGAAGGAAGCAGTAAATACATTGCAGCCAACCTCCATTGTAGAAACGGCACATTAAAAAAAAAATTTTTTTTTATCAACAAGGACTGCTGATATCTACAAAACTTTTAGCATGTGAAACCCAAATTGCATAGGGTGTTTCCAAAGTGTCCATGCATGGGAAAAAATATTCATATCGCCAGTGTCATTACAAGCATAACTCCAGCTGTGTTTATACATGTCCTTCAGCAGTAAAGGACACGCATTGAAAATGTTTTTTTTTTTTTAAACAACGTAGTCATGTAGAGAGTATTGTATAAACAAAAGTTTTGTTTTTGTTTTTTGAAAAGAATTCTGATGTATGGAAACTTATGGAACACACTGCTATTTCTGAACATTTCAGATTGTTTGAATGACCAAGGCCTGACACCCACAGACATCTGTTCAGTATCCTTATATATTGGGGATATGGCAAATTTTGTTGCCATCAATGAAGTGTACAAGACATTCTTTCATGTAAATCCTCCCGTCAGGTGAGTTTATGAAGTCATGTCCCAGCAGAGTTAATCAAACAACACAGGGGGTCTCCGTGATCAAACTGTTTGCCTCGCGCTCTGAAGATCGTGGGTTCGTTTCATGGCTGTGTCCTTTAGTTCATGAGTGTAATTTTTAGGGAGTCCCTGGGGATCCTTGCTGGAACTACAGAGTTTGTGCTCTGTGCGGTGCTCTCGACAGGCGGCTAACCATTCTGCGTAGAGAGACTGAGCCATCTGGGATAAAATCCGGTGCAATGAAGTTGATCCTCACAACTTTAACTTTTAACTTTAATCAAACTAATATTTGCGAGGTGTGGATGGGTGGCTAAGGTGTTAAAAGTATTGTATCTCAGATTTGGTGATATCAGATCTAATCCCTAGTGAGGCAACAAAATTTCAAGATTCTATAGAATAATGGAGAAATCGAAGCAACAGCACAAAAATTAATAACCTGTTATAACTCGGAATGGATTTGCCCAAGAGGCAAGGAACCAGTGGTCTGCTACAGATAAGCCAGATCTGTAAAACAGATGTGCACGCTAAACTGAAGTTCTGGAACAGGATCAAAGTCCAGAAGTGGACGAACAACCAGAAAATTCCGCCATGTTTACAGCTGTTGAGCACTAAAAAGAAGATAACCTGTTCAAATCAGAATTAATTACTGCCTCAAATCTCATGCAGTGGTTGGGCGACAAAAAACTGCATACACAGAAGAACTGTCAGGGAGTAGACCAAGAAGATGATGGAGGGATAATATACCGGCAGAGCCACTTGGAGCCACCATCTGGAAAGAGAAGGTCGATCACATGGGGGCAGGTGACATCCATCTACAGTGAACTTCAGAAGCTGGGAAGGCTGAAAAAGAAACATAAAGTGTTTATTAAAATGTTTTTTTCAATAAAACTGACAACACTATTTTTATAAAATAGTTTGTAAATCAAATTTTTTTAAAACTACTTTTTGCACTGATTTTGACAATGTTAAATGCATTGTACTGTACAGAAGGTGGTAGTTAAAAAATGGGGGGGGGGGGGGGGGGGGGGTTATAATAATAATAATTAAATTAGGATAATGTCTTTGAAAAAATATGAAATGTTTAAAAAGAATTCATCACAGAGAACTTCTAAACATGGCTGGTAGCAAGGGGCCGTTAAGCCACTTTACAAATTGTTTGAGTGGATGATGAAGAGTGCCCAAGGTCTCTCAACCCCCAGATTTCAACATTTCTGGTTAGCACAATATATCTAATAACCCTAAAGTCATGGAAATGGATCTTATACTTTTACTTGCAATTTCTAACACTTGACACAGAAATGTGATTTTATTCCAGGCTTTGTATTCAGGCCAACCTGCCTCGCAACATTGCACTGCAGCTTGACTGCCAGGGGAAGATTTGCGATGCCGAAAAGGAAAATAACCGCAAGACCATGCATGTGCAGTCTTTGTCTCACTGGGCTCCAGCTAACATTGGACCTTATAGCCAAGCTGTAAAGGTAAGTACTTCTTCTGTGTTCACCCTTAATCTTTTTGCCCAGGAAACGCTTAAAGAAAATGAATCATGACACAGTGGAAGGTCTAAAAAAAAAATCTTGTAAAACAATTTAACACTGGTCAGTAAAAGATTGTCAAAATTGTATGTATGTACATTTATGTACATGGCCAATGCTCAACACTCAAGGGAAGGGCCAGACGTATATACAATCAGACAGTTACTAGTGCCATTGGAATTGGAACTCTTCGTTTGCTGCTGAAGATGGGGACGGAGCGCTTACAACATTTAACATTTGAACTAAATTTCCTCAGATTTATAAAGATAAAGAGAGTAATTAGTAAACATGAAAAGAGTGAAGCATCAAATAGAATACATTCTCAAGGGCCTAAAAATATATTGAGTCAGGTGACTCGTGTTGGGACTCCATAACCTCTATCTATCACTGAGGCTTATGGGAACATTTTACATCAGCTTGGCTTTAAAAAACCCATTTGAGTTGAAGGACCCCCCACCCTATTCTAGTTTTGGTTAATATATTTTCATCTTGATCTCATTAACATTTGTGCAGGCGTGAACACAGCCAATAGCATTAATTATAGGTCTCGTAAACATGTCTTGATAGACATAAACATGTTGCGATAGACAAGTCAGAAAAAGTAATTTACAGGGAATTGGTCCCAGCTGGAAATGTCAGAATTCTCTGGGTGACACAGTTAAAAAGCCCCTAAAAAAATAAAAAAGAAGCGATTAGCTTCTAGTGTTGTGGTCTACAGCTAAGCTGCAATACTAACCCAGCACATTCAATTTTAGCAAACCCCTTAGTCGTCTTTTACACTATGTTACGGGGCAGTGGGTCCTTTTACCCCTCTCCCCTTTCCCAGTAGGGTCCTGGTATCCATATGGCAAAGGAAGGTAACAGTACCTCATAGTACCTCATAGACTCCAGTCTACATGGTGTCTAAGTTTTACCTTAACATAAACTTTGACTAGGAAAAGGAAGGAGAGACTTGCACAAGTACAGTTGAATGTTTCAGCCTAAGTCTTTGTCAACAGTAAAGACTGGTCGAAGCATGTATTAGTGTGCTTGATATTCCTTCGTCTACAGTTACCCGCTATTCTATACAGGCTTTATCGGTTTTGGTTTTGTATTTCTGAGAACTAGTTTAAAAGAAACAAATGTGGCCTAAACGCTCAACCCTTTCACCCCATGACCAAAGAAAAAAAAAACTTTGCCAAGATCCTGTAACTACCAAAATTTGGGAATCCCTTTTAAAAACAAATTTTCAGGTTTCACTTGAAAAATTGCCAAAACATTTATGGGAGGACCCAACAAATACAGTATAGAAAAAGGTCAGTAATTAGTAAAAACAAATGCAGCAGATAATTAACTGGCTTTGAATAACAGTTACAGCATGACAGTTACTTGACCCTGTGACCTGGTCGCCCGGTAGGGTGCTTTATTTATATCTTACCCCAGATGACGTCACAGGACAGTCAGACATTTTACAGGGTGGTAAGACTGTGTTTCCTGGATTTCTGATGCTTTCAGCGACCCCAGAACATCTAGAACCGGCCCTAACCCCAATCCACCTACGTCCCACGAGAGAGTGCAGCCTATGTCCCACGAGTGCCTATCTACCACCCCCCTGAAATATTAAACTGTTCCGTGACCTGTGGATTTTCCCTGTTTGGGGTAAGATATAAATAAAGCACTATTTTCAGTAAATGTATTCGTTCACAGTCCCACTAAAGTTTTTGCAAGTGGTAAAGAAATAGATTCTGTTAGCTGTGCTTCTCATAAACGAGCCACTATAGTGATCAGGGTGCGCGATTCTTACAGGGAAATGGCACTAACAGGAAGTGCCGGGCTTGGGGCCTCTCGGATTTTAGAATTAAAATTGTGGTTGGCATGTTGTTTTGTGGTTTACATCTAGGCCGTGTTCTCTGCATCTTCCGACCCAACACATCTGATTTCAGCAGACTCCTAGTTAGTCACCTTTTATGACATACTTTTGTTAGGCAATGGATCTGTTCTTTGCCCCTCCTCAAAATGGGGCCCTCAAACCCACGGGGGGGGGGGGGGGGGGGGGACTAATAAACTACTGATAATGTTTATCACCCACATGGGGAAACTTATAAACTACTGTTCAGTGTTGATCACCCACATGGGGAAACCAATAAACTACTGATCAATGTTTATCACCCACTTGGGGACACTAATAAACTAATTCTCAATGTTTATCACCCACATGGCAAAACTGATAAACTACTGATCAGTGTTGATCACCCACATGGGGAAACCAATAAACTACTGTTCAGTGTTTATCCCCCACATGGGGAAACTTATAAACTACTGATCAATATTTATCACCCACTTGGGGACACTAATAAACTAATTCTCAATGTTTATCACCCACATGGCAAAACTGATAAACTACTGATCAATTTTTATCCGCAAAAACAAACTTGGACTCCAAATTAACACTGCAAAAACAAAAATTCTAGGCCTTACCAACAGTTCAGTTGATATCACGCTGAACAACAACAGCCTTGAAAAAGTCAACAGTTTCACTTATCTAGGGAGCAAGATGTCATCTACAGGAGATACCGCACCAGAAATATCAATTAGAATAGCACTGGCATCTAGTGCCTTCAATAAACTGTCCAACATCTGGAAATCAAAGACACTTAGCAAACACACAAAACTCAAGATCTTCAATTCTTGTGTGATTCCAGTACTAACCTATGGATGCAAGATGCTGGAAATCAACGAAAACTCTAGACACAAAATTAGACAGTTTTGAAAATAAATGCCTTAGAAGAATACTAAATTTCAAATGGTCAGATTTCCGAACCAATACACAAATAAGGCAAGAATCCAGGCAAGAGTATGTGTCTAATTTTTTACGAAAACGCCGCTGGAACTATGTCAGCCACGCCCTTAGAATGGATAAATCAAGACTTCCTTACCAAGCCCTCATTTGGACACCACAGGGGAAAAGATCTCGTGGAAGACCAAGGGAAACCCTAGGTAGAACTATCATCAGGGAAGGCTCGCTCATGGGCCACTCAAACATCCAAGACCTACAACAGATTGCAACGAACCGCCATGCATGGAGAGTAATGACCTCTGCCCTATGTGCCGCACTCGACACAAGAGGAAAGACTAACTAACTAACTAACTAACTAATTAATTTTTATCACCCACAAGGGAAAACTAATAAACTACTGTTCAGTGTTTATCATCCACTAATAAACTACTTATCAATGTGTTTATCTCATTGGTTTTGTGTGTGTGTGTTTTTTCATTTCAAATTTCTACCAGTAAGTGTTTTGCTACTGTTTGTTTTTAATTCCCAGGCTGGAGACAAGATCTTTGTAGCAGGGATAGTGCCCCTTGTGCCATCCACTTTGAATGTCATAGATGGGGGCATATCTGCCCAGTGTGCTGTGGCTCTCACACATCTGGAGACAATTATAACTACAATGGACAAAAACTGCACCTTGGCATGTTGCCCGCTTGTCATGTGCTACCTTATAAGTCAGGAGTACATTTCAACAGCCAGTCAGGAATGGAGCAAAGCACTCGAGGCAAGACTGTCTTGAATCAGAATTGTGAAGATTTCCTTTTTTCTTTTCTGGTGGCCTGTATAGTTGTTACCTGACAACTTACTACTCTGAATTCTTTAACTTGTTTAAGTAGTGTTGCATGCCTGTGGGCATGATTGTTTTGAGATTAAGACAGATTTTAAAAATGCACCTAAAATGGGTTCATTTATTCATTTCGCTGCCCGGCTTGCTAAACCTGACTTCTCCAGGTGACGAACTCCTTGTGGTCCGGGTGCACGCCCGGGGGTATACGGAAAAGCCACAATTCTCCCAGATTTACGGTATCATGGAATCAAGGCCGAAGGGTTGCGATATCCATAGTACCAAGTCAAAGGGTTAACAACAACTCAGGGTTTTTGAATATTTAAAAAAAAAAAATTCATTTTCTCATTCATCATAGCTCTGCTGTGCCATTATATTTCCCGCAGGGCTCGCAGTCTGTTCCTCCATTCCATTCTGTCCTGTGCAGTCATATATAAATGGAGTCCACTCCAGCATCTTTGGCTTCTCTCATCAACTTTCGCCTTAGGGTTTCTCTTGGATGTACTCGCTTCCTTAGCTCCTAATTTTATTGCCTGTTTGGTGATTCTCTGTTTGTCTCTTCACAGAAGATTCATGAGTGGCGTTTTTGTTTTGGTTATAACCATTATTGGATCAGTCTCATTATTGACTTGTCAGGCTATTTGTATAGACCAGTCAACCTTTGATGTGGTCGGCATCATACAGGCTGCCTTTACTTCCCAGGACAGTGCCATGCAGCCATTTTAGATAGGGTCAACCTATTGAGGTAAATTTTAATTTTAAAATCCGACCTTAGGGTCAGCAAGGCTAATTCTGTTTGCACCGTATATGGTCTTATGTATATAGGCTATATTGCGGGCCCTGGCAAGAGCCAGGGTGGGGGGCTTCAAAATAACGTTAAATTGCATCCCACATGGGGATGACTAGAATATTAGGAGGGGAGCTCAGCCCTTACGTACTTAATGGTTCAATGTGCAGTGAGGCTAATCTGTTCACTTAACTATACATATTTATATCATAATAGTATTTTTTTCAAAAGAGGTAACAGACATGTGATACATACACTAACCCAAACCAAAAAAATGCATTCGTTATAATCCAGATCTCCACGAGGGATTCTGAAAAGTCGCCATTTGCTCCTGTGGTCCAGTACTGCATTGTGCCGGCATTGCCCAAGGGATGCCTAGTGGAGTGGCATACCTTTGTATGGCCAGACATAGAGGATGTTGCCAGTTTTCAAGGTTGGACTGATTACTGTAGACAACTGTGTGAAGTGATATTCATTTCTCATACATGATATTTCCCTCTGTGGGTATACAGCCGCATTGGGGGTTGGAAAGGGGGGGGGGGGGGGGGGAGAGATAGATCTACTGCCCTCCCAGCAAGCATGTCATAAAAGTAATCTAATTAGGGATGTTTCCTTTAAATTCAGAATGCATCTGCCTGAGGGGCGGTTCCAACTGCAAAGAAGAAGCAGATATTGTGATTAGGGTGGAGAATTGTTCTGGCTGAATTAGCAGGAGGGCTAAAGTTTGTGTCTTGTGGTTGTGAATTGTGTCTTATGGTAGTGACTTGTGGTTGTGAATTGTGTCTCGTGGTTGTGAATTGTGTTTGTGTCTTGTGGTAGTGTCTTGTGATTGTAAATTGTGTCTTGTGGTTGTGAATTGTGTCTTGTGGTAGTGAATTGTGTCTTGTGGTTGTGAATTGTCTTGTGGTTGTGAATTGTGTCTTGTGGTTATGTCTTGTGGTTGTGAATTGTGTCTTGTGGTAGTGAATTGTGTCTTGTGGTTGTGAATTGTGTCTTGTGGTAGTAAATTGTGTCTTGTGGTTGTGAATTGTGTCTTGTGGTAGTAAATTGTGTCTTGTGGTTGTGAATTGTGTCTTGTGGTAGTGAATTGTGTCTTGTGGTTGTGAATTGTCTTGTGGTTGTGAATTGTGTCTTGTGATTATGTCTTGTGGTTGTGAATTGTGTCTTGTGGTAGTGAATTGTGTCTTGTGAATTGTGTCTTATGGTTGTGAATTGTGTCTTGTGGTTGTGAATTGTGTCTTGTGGCTATGTCTTGTGTTTGTGTTTTGTGGTAGTGAATTGTGTCTTGTGAATTGTGTCTTGTGGTAGTGAATTGTGTCTTGTGGTTGTGAATTGTGTCTTGTGGTTGTGAACTGTGCCTTGTGGTTGTGAATTGTGGTAGTGACTTGTGAATTGTGTCTCGTGATAGTTACTTGTGTCTTGTGGTTGAGAATTATGTCTTGTGGTTGTGAATTTTGTCTTGTGGTTGTGAATTATGTCTTATGGTTGTGAATTATGTCTTATGGTTGTGATTTATGTCTTATGGTTGTGATTTATGTCTTATGGTTGTGAATTATGTCTTGTGGTTGTGAATTATGTCTTGTAGTTGTGGATGTCTTTAAGTCATGATTTATATCTTGTGTTTTGAAATTATGTCTTATGTTTGTGAATTTGACTTGTGATTTATTCTGTCTTGTGTCCTGTAATTGTGGATTTTCTTGAGGTTAAGAATTACGTCTCATAAGCCACTTTTACTTCCCCATTTTAGCCTAGGTTCACCTGAGAGCAACTATGGAAATCCACCACATTGCAGATTCGCACAAATAGAGTAAAACATTAACACGAATTCCAAGCGACCTGGAAATCAAGAGTTCATGTTTTAAAAGAATGTGTGTTAACTATAGATTAATAGGTATATTATGAATAATACGTCCCTGCTGGGACCAGAACTTTGTTCACACTAACCATATGGGTACTTTCGAGTAAATTATACTTCACCTCGACACCGCAAAGTATAGGAGGACCAAGGTGAGACGAGATTAGGTGAGGTCAAGTTAATGAGGTTTGACTGTAAGTCATCATGTAGCAGGTCCTCTGCAGAACATCGCTCTCATCTTGGCCTCCCTGAAAGAAACTCGGTCTCTCTCCAGCTATTCCATCTCATGTACTTTCACATTCACTGAGTCACTTATGTCCTGTGCCCATCTTCATGTTGGTGGGCCTCTGCTGCTCTTTCCTGGTACCATGCCTTCTGCTATTATTTTGTTGACTGGCACATGGCACCATGACTGTATGAATATTTAAAGGTAAAGCATTGTATTGTAGCTATGCAAGGCTTTTTCGAAATGCGTTGTGTATAAAGCTATCTTTTTCTTACCTGCCAGAGTTCAACCTGTGTCAAGGTTACAGCAACTATACTGTAAAATCCAGAGTCATCTACAGCTCTTCTAAAAAGGAATACTTCTCTTGTAACATTGTTGTTGGTAAGAGTCTGTCCATTTGTATACAGATATGGTTGGAGCTTAACCGTTTGTGTTTTGATTGTTGTTTTTGCAGGTCCTGTTCAGTAATTAATTTAATTTATCACACAACAAAAATCTCAAACTGGACAAATGTGTGAATATCTCATTTACTGTATAAATATTGCTTCACATTGTTATAAGTACACCATACAATCTATCTAACGTGTGTTTCAAACTTTACTCTATAAACTATATTTTTATTGTATAACACTCAGAGATTGAAAAATGTTAGTTGTGTATCCTATACAGGACAACTCCAGCATTCACTGCTGTGGTTTTTCTAGGCAAATTTACGTCCAGTAGTTTGCCAGGATAACATCAGAGAAACTCTACAACAGCACGATGTGCCTATGGTCGAGGCGGCCAGAAGAGCTAGAAACAGAACCTTATATCTCCCTCAACACCCACAGCGGTAAAAGAGGAAGTGAAGAAGAAGAAGAAGAAGTTTGCCATTGCTTTCTGGACGGTCAGCTTCTCTATACCACTGTCGAAATCAATGCAAGGCGCAAGGCCCACAGCTGGGTATTGAACCCAGCACCCCGGCATTACAAAGCATGTGCGCAATGCCTAAGCCACAGACGCAGACACTCAAAGATGACTTGTGTGGTCACCACTCTTCAATTCCAAGCTGAGTCCCAAGTCAGATCACCAAGAATTATTCCAAATCAAAGTCCCGAGTCAAATTACTTAATGTTTCCAGTCATTTGCAGGTTGTACATCGGACAATGCTTATGGCTCAATCAAAAATGTCAAAAGTACAAAATTGGACATGGCAGTTCCTTAAAACTCACTATCTATACATAAAAGCGGAAGAAGTTGAATGTGAAATTGTGATGAAATCAAAACAGAATTTATTCTTTCTTGTTTTTTATAAAGATGTTTTTAAATATGATGTTGATCATCCAACCTCACTGTGGCTGGTCATGAAGAATGAGTCGCACCTACTCGTCGAAGCTGCAAGTCCAAAGAAAAGCTCTAAGTCAAGTCACAAGTCATTAATTACACAACTTAAGTTGGACTCGAGTCCAAGTTGCACCACCTGTACTGGAATAGCTTGACCAATGTTGAAAAAGAATGACCCATGCTGAAATAGATTGACCCCTGAAAGAATAGACTCATGCTGGAAAAAACTGACCCATGCTGCAATAGATTCCCCTTGCTTGAATAGACTTTGATCATTGAAGAACTTGCATGTCAATCTGCATTGTGTTCCTAGTTAATGAGGAATTGTTTCCTGTCTGCATGTGTGGTTCAGGGATTGCCAGCCTGTCTTGAGAGAGAGGCATCAGAGATGTTTCTTCTGGTCAGGAGCAAACTCAGTGAGGAACAAATATACTGCTTGCTCCACAAGCTTAGTACTGTGACTTAGTAGGTATGAGGTCCTCTCACTTGACTCCTCTAGGGCATCGTTTGAAAGAAACAGCCTTCTGTCTTACAACTATGGTCTGGTCTGGTAGTCTTAATTTCAGCTTCATAGCAAACGGGTCACCTCATCTTTGCTCCGCTCCTGTGCCAACGAAAAACACACAAAATGTTTATCACAGTCCCTTGTGGAAAGATTGACAGACTGTTGTCTCAGCATATCTAGCAAACACACGCATTAAAGCATACGGTAGCCATCCAAAGTGCTAACACAAGCAGTCCGACATTAGAAATGCAGTTCATCACTGATAGTAGCAGAAGTCACCAACAGATCACATACAGGCACCACCAACATTGTGACGACAGGCATCGCGCCATTTTCTGAATATACAGTTCACACCACCACTTTGGTCACAGTCGAAAAAAACATTTCAAATGAAATCCGAAGCTCACAGTGTCACGCCATGCATTCAACTCAGAAGCTGGGCGACAAAACTATGTCCAGTCTACAAATGGAGCAAAAATGCATCGGCCACCGTCCAGCAGAAGCAAAAAATTTGCCTCGGCTCCAAAAAGTGCCCCTGCCAGCGTCCATTTTGACCGGAAGTGTCTTACAAATGAGGATTAACCCAGACAGCTAATGCCAGAAACAGTGGGATATGTTGGCCAGAAGCCACAAATATAATTACGTTCTCTGACGAACAGAGAAGAAAAGAAAAAAAAAATTATGTATACGTGATCCCATCTCTTAAGTACCCAGACACAGTATAGGTGTACTATTTGCCTGTTGCAGATTTAATTAATGCGGATTCTGTCCGGCACATCCAGCCTCAAGCCGTAGTGAAGGATCTCCTGCAAGAATACAACAAAATCTGTGAGGAGTGTGATGTCACAGATAAAACACCGCTGGTCAAGGTTCTCTTCTGTCCAGTTGTATTCAACTACTCCCAGATTCACCAAGGTAGGTTTAGCACCTGGCGGCACAGTGGCTTTCAACCTTTAACAGGTACCCCTGCCCCCCTTTAACCCCAACCCCCCTTCAGTTTATGGCAAGACACCCACTCCTTGCAGTAGATTTAGAGGCAGTAGATTTGGAGGCGGTAGATTTAAAAGCAGTAGATTTGGAGGCGGTAGATTTAAAAGCAGTAGATTTGGAGGCGGTAGATTTAAAAGCAGTAGATTTGGAGGCGGTAGATTTAAAAGCAGTAGATTTGGAGGCGGTAGGTTTAAAGGCAGTAGATTTAGATTCAGTAGATTTAGAGGCAGTAGCTTTAGTTTAGAGGCGGTAGATTTGGAGGTGGTAGATTTAGATTCAGTAGATTCAGAGGCGGTAGATTTATAGGCAGTAGATTTGGAGACAGTAGCTTTAGAGGCGGTAGATTTAGAGGCAGTAGCTTTAGAGGTGGTAGATTTAGAGATATCAGATTTAGAGGCGGTAGATTTAAAGATAGTAGATTTAGAGGCAGTAGATTTGGAGCTAACAATGAATATCACAGTTAACAGGGTGAAATTGGAACAAGTTAAAAATTTCTTATATCTTGGACAAGTAATAACATGTGACGGCAGAAGTGAAACAGAAGTCAAGAAAAGAATAGGGATGGCCAAAAACATTTTCAACAACATGCAAAAGTTACTGACATCGAGAGAAATAAACAATACATTAAAAATGAGAATTGTCAAATGTTATGCATTCTCAACCTTACTGTATGACACAGAGACATGGACAATGAACAAACAACTTGAAAATCGTATAAATTCTTTGGAGATGTGGATATACAGAAGATTAGGTCGTATTTCATGGAAACAAAAGCTATCAAATACAGAGGTACTGAGGAAATTGGGAATGAAAAGAGAGTTGCTAAGTGAAATAAAATAGAGCCAAGTGAAATATTTTGGTCACATTAAAAGACATAACAGTATTGAGGGAAAGGTTCAAGGTAGGTGAGCAAGAGGCAGCGTTACAAGTGGGAGGATAACATCAAGAGATGGACGAACAGCAGTATGAGTGAGTGTACATCAAGGGCAAGAGACAGGGCTTGTTGGAGATCCATTGCAGCCAATCTTCATTGTGGAGACGGCACCTGATTGATTGATTGATTAGATTTAGAAGCAGTAGATTTGGAGGTGGTAGATTTAAAGGCAGTAGATTTAGAGGCTTCAGATTTGGAGGTGGTAGATTTAGAGGCAGTAGATTTGGAGGCAGTAGATTTGTAGGCAGTAGATTTAGAGGCATCAGATTTGGAGGTGATAGATTTATAGGCAGTAGATTTGGAGGCTGTAGACTTAGAGGCAGCAGCTTCAGATCTTGCTGTTCTGACTGCAGCTTTGAATTTTAATTTACAATTTGAGACTTTACACTTTCCATCTTAATTTTTTTTATATTTGAAAGAAAATTAATCAAAACTCCAGATTGTGTTTTGTCTCTTGCCCTGTTGTGATGCTTTTGTATATCAGTAGGCACTTTTTTTTCTCCAGTGGTCTCGAGGCATAATGTCCGCCTCGAGTTCTAGAGGTGTCAGCTTCAATACCCGGTTAGGGCTGGCATTTTTTCACGTGGACTTGGACTTCTAGCAATTTCCCCCTGGTCTCTGGGTAGTGAGATTGGACGCCCGTGTGCATTGTAGCGCACGTAAAAAAAAACCTTGGCAGTTGGAAATTGAAAAGAGTAGCCTAATGGCGCTGCCCGGGCAAAATTTTGAGTTAAAAATCTACCCAAAGTATTTCAGAATCCTTGCCGGTGCTACGGAGCTTGTGCACTGTGCTGAGCTTCTTCAGACTCAGACTTTATTTAAAATAAGAAGAACGGAGCACTTATGGGTTGCCATCTGTGTGCCATGATGTTGAACCGTTCTTCAAACTTTAAACTTTTTTTTTTTCAAGGATATTATATTATATTGTGCTATAGAATGGCATACGAATCACAACACATGGTGGGGTCGGTACAACCAGCACTTGTTAATGAGACATTTTCCACAGTAGGTACATTAGATTTCAGGGCTATATGTAAATCTCTCATGTTGACTTTTCCCTAAATGCTCAGCTCCTCACCTTATCTTTAATCATTTTCTCCTTTGTCTTTTCCTTCCTGATTCTTCCCCCATCTGTGCGACATGGTCTATAATATTCATTTACTATGAATCCATCTCATTACCTGTATCATTCATGTCTTACTTGCAGTGTAGTCTTTTATCATGTCTACAGATCTTACTTAATAAAACGGTTATATTGTTGTTTTAGAACATTTAGTGTCTCTGCCAAGGAACACATGACATGTAGATTAATTTCTAATTTATATGACCTCTGTAACCAAAGGAGTAGCCCTGCTGTAAATCTAATCTACATTTAGAGGGATTTTTTAAAAATGACCTTGACCTCCAGGTCGATCCAGGCTCATGTATTTTTAACCCCTTTGGAGACTGAGCCTTTTTGGAGTTTCAGTGCCAAAAAGATGAAGCCTTCAGGGCCCAGTCATTCTGTCGACTACTTTGTGTTGAGCCGATATTTCGGCCGCGTCATCTCCAGAGGGTTTTAAAAAAAAAAATAAAGTTACCCAGTGGCGCTTTACTACTCTCACACACATTAAAAAAAAAACATAGCTACTGAAAGGAACATAATTTTGACATTCAAAATCTTTTTAAATTAATGAGTGAAATTGCTCAAATTGCACACAAGAATATCTTGGGGTTTAACCAATCTGCTGACAGTTCTTTTGCATCTGTATCATAGATAGTTTTTGGACGTACAGGCTTTCCCGTCAACTAATAACAACGTGCCATCAGATAACTATAAAGTAAGTAAAGTAAAGATCCCTTTTAACCTTTTTTAATGCCTTAGGCGCATCGGGCATATAGGAAGAGCACCCATAATTTTACAGACCAATCGGCACTAGGTGGGTAATGTGGTCAGCATTACGCCGGCCATCTTTACTTTCCCAGGACATACATCCTGGTACCCACTTTAGGCTGGGTCGACCTGCGACGCCCCGTACCATGATAAAAATCCATGCGTCAACTGGATTATTTTTTTTTTTTATTGTAAAGTGATATCAGATAACAGCATTTTTACAACAACAACAAATATTTTTTAAACATTATAGATACCGGGTAAAGTCCTGGGAAATAAAGACGGCCGACATGATGTTGACCATATATTTATTAAGTACCGGTGTATGAGTTTAGCTCCATATGTCCAACACATAAAAGGAAAGCTTTGCCACTTACATTACTTAGACTTGCAATATACACATTAATGTTAACATGTCTTGTATCTGCCAGTTTTCTCCGAGGCTCTGTCAAAAATGAACACGGAAAAGAATGCTGCCCCTCCGGTTGTATCACTGGTTTCTGTAACTGGACTACACACACGGCAGCAGATCCTTGCATGGTGTCAGTGATGGACAGCTCAAGAAACAACCATCGTTGTGTGGCTAGCAGGCCGGTTCATAAAGGGCCACATCTTCATTTAAAACATGGCTCAGAAAACACTTTTTATGTTATTCTAATTAAGTTAAAGTTGTAATGGTTGGTCTAAGCCTAATTTTTTTTTTTACTCAACTCAGGGATTATATGATAATCTGTCTGTTTTTCCCTTTCTGGATACTTCATAAACGATTTGACTAGACCTGCTACTACTTTAAGAGTCACATCCTAGCTGGCAATCCAACAAGGCAAAAACATAGATACTCACTGCAGCCTCCAAGGAAGTGATCATTCCGTGTGTGGGTTCCAGAGCCACATAGTGAGGAAGACAAGAACAGACCCACTGCCTCTCCAACAAGCACGGCGTAGGAGTCGACTAATTGGGGGCTTCCTTCAAAGTCAGTTTGCATCTGCCTGAGAGGCAAGGAACCAGAAATCTGCAAACAATTATGCCAGATCTGTTAAATGGATGTGCATGCATCACTCAGGTTCTGGAGCAAGACTAAAATCCAAAGGTGGACAAACAACCAGAACTTTTCGCTGAAGTTTACAGCCGGTGAACACAAAGAAGAAGAAGAAGATAAGGGTACATGTTATGGTTACACCTAAGTGATTATACACCGGTTCACAACTATAATTTATAATGAATAAATCCAGTGAACAGTGACTGAAAATCGGAAAGCAGAATAACATGCACAAAACAACACAAAACCCCTCAGTGTTTGAAGTTCTCTCCCCCTTGTTATGGCCGTTGTAGTTCATGTTCTTGTCGAGAAAGGCCCAGCTTTGTGTTGTTTTGTGCACGTTATTCTGCTTCCCGATTTTGTTAAGCTTTTCAGTCATTGTTCATTGGATTAATTCCTTGGTATTAGCTTAACTGCAGTCACCCCTATTTTTACCACTTATTTATAATGATCATGATACTTGGGCTGTTGCATTCATTAAATATCCACAGTCATATAATGGATCCTTTGCAGAAAATTGCTCCCATCAGGGTCTGCAAGAAAACCTTTTTTTGTTTTTTGCCAATTCTCCTGCCTTGTTTATTTTTATACCTAAAATATCTGAGCAGATTTTTTTTCTTTCAATTGACCTTGTCTCCCAAGTCAACCCAGCCTTAGATAGGTACCAGGTAAAGACCTGGGAAGTAAAGGTGGCCAGCTGGCATGATGTTGACTACATCATTTATTGAGTGCCAGTTGGTCTAAACAAATTAAGGTCTAGCCCTGTATGCCTGATATGGAACTGATGTGAAAAAGGTCCTTTATCATGACAAGATGTCTCTGACGTCTCTCTGGTCAGCTCTCAGTTGGTTGACGTCTGCCTCTTCATTCAGGATAAATTTGAATAAATGTCTAAAACAATTAATGGAGCTATTTATATTACAAGGGATTTAATCAGGGCACCCATTTGCCATGGTGGGGTCCATGGCTTAGATGTTGCGAGTCCAACTCGTAATTCCATGTGGAAAGCGCACAAAACTGACTGCTGGCTGCACAGATTTTGATCACAGTATGGGGCGTCGCAGGTCGACCCAGCCCTAAATGGGTACCATGATGTATGTCCTGGGTAGGTAAAGACGGCCGGCGTAGTGCTGACATCACCCACCTAGTGCCTATTGGTCTATAGAAATATGGGTTCTCTTCCCATTTGCCCGATGCGCCAAAGGCGTAAAAAGATTACTTACCTATTTACCATCCATTCCCTTCTTCAAGAGGAAAGCAGACTGTGTGAACTTTACAGACCTGTAAAATATGTCACCATCATCAGGTGTCTTGCCAACTGGCATGAATGAATGTTCCACCACAGCTCTTATTCTCTAGCAATTAGCATTAATTCAAGTGCTGATAAGTTCCTGTGCTATGGTTCAAAACTTTCCACATCTTCTCTGTCCTCTGTTAATCCTACCTCTTCTGATAGGCCTTAGTCTTTTGTTTTATTCTCCAGTCTGTATGCCCTAGTTTTAATCTTTTCCAGTACGTCCAAGGTTCTGTTATATACCTTTATGTTCCAAGTTTTGTCTCTTCAAATACATACCAGTTTGTATCATTTCCAGTATGTCGAGATCTTTTTGTCGTAAATTTCACATTTTCCATTGTGTCCCAGGTTTGATCTCTTTCAGTATTTCTCTGTTTTAATCTTTTTCAGTATACCTGTTTTTCCACAGAATGCTCCAATTTTTATTTTTTATAATATAGTGTGTTATTTTTTTTTTTTCATGACAGCCAACCCTGCCTGTTATCTCATTGCAATAAGATACTCTATCTTTTCCACTAATTTGCAGTTTCCATCATGTTCCAATTTCTTTTAAATCTTTTTCAGTAAGCACCAGTTGTTATCTTTATCATTTCACGATAAAGCCAGCAAATGTTGACTTTGTTATATCCTTGTGATGACCTCCTTTTATCTCAGTCATTCATTCATTGTCCCATTTCAATGTAGAACTTTGCAGAACTTTGTTCTCTTTCAAACTGTTGGTTAAAAATTGGTATTATGTAAAAATCAAGAATTCTTTGTCCAACATCAGATGACATGCTTAATATGTTCTTAATTTTAGGCATAGAATTTATGAATTTTAGTAAAATTTTACAAAGGAACATCAAACATTTACTGAAACTTTATATGTACATAATAAACGCATTTGTTTAATTTTTGTCTTTTGTCTTTAATTATTGTTGTTACTTATGCCACACATATCAACCTTTTGTTTTAACGAGTTTTGTTCTTGTACTTCAACTACTGTTACTTATGCCACACATGTCAGCCTGAAAGGTTGTTGCTAGTCACTACATGCTGCTGTTTAATCATTTTCATTGCCATTACCATCAAGGAGCAAATCCTTTGCAAACAGTTGCACCCATCAATCAGTTGTGCCATCTCCACAATGAAGGTGGACTGTAATGGATCTCATACATGCTCTGCTGTCTTGTTCCCTGAATGTACTCTGTCTCAGACTTCTGTTTGTCCATCTTTTGATGTTATCCTGTAACTTGTATCACTGTCTGCCTCTAACTTACCTTTAACTGTTACTGGCATTAAAAAGGGTCCTTTACTTACGTACAGCAAGTGAACAGTGTGAAATAATGAATAGATCATCAAATTCTGGATTGAATGCTGCAACTGGGAGTGACCAGGTGGTGTTGCACACACTCAACACTCACATTAGAGGAAAGGCAAGACGGACATACAATCACTGCTAATGGCACCTTCAGTACTGGAACTCGGCACTGGCTACTGAATGTGGAGATGGAGCAATTACAGGAATGTCTTTAACAGATCTGACTGGTTTTGATGCAGACTGTTAGTTCCTTGCCTCTCAGGGAGATGCACTCCAACTTTGAAGAAAGTTCCTAATTAGTCGACTCTTAAGACATGCTTTAGGGTAGGCAGTGGGTCTATTCTTGTTTTCCCTATAATAGGGCCCCAGAACCCACACAGGCAAAAACGATGATGATGCTGGACTAGGAAAAAAAAAAAAAGAAACATATTTACAGTGGTACTTCTCATGTTTATTTTAACATAATGTACAGATTGAAAAAAAAAATTGGTGAGGAATAATTGATGGCATACAAATGTATGTAAAAGACTAACAGTCAATTGCACAAACAGAAAAACAAAATCCAGGCTATTATTGATAGAGAAAAGCATAAAATAAGTGCATGAAAGTGTTGCGAAAAAATGTACAAATAACGATTCGTCACAGGAAATTTTGAGGAAACAAATGAAAAAACAAAACCACAATCAAACAATAACAGATAACCAATGTTAACCGAGCAGAGCAGTTGGCATATTGTGTTGCAGTTTACAACTAGGCTGCAAAATCTTCACCTTCTGGCTCAACTTATCTTATTTCAGCAAACTATTAACTAGTCCAGCAACCCATACGTGGAACATTCAAAAGTACCTTCCAAAGTGTATACAATTATTTCAGGTTAAACTGACAGAGGAAACTGTCTTTTCTGTAGCTGCATGAAGTATTGTTTGTTTCTTCTACATCGCCTGTCAGAGCAGTGTTCTTCAACCATTTGACACCCGTGGCCCACCAAAACAAAGAAAATTAGTTTTGCAGCCCATCTGATAGCTAACTTTAAGTTAGTTGTGTATCCTTTGCAGGAAGTTGCAAAACCAGCCCCAGCATGCTGTGGCTGCTTTTCTAGGCCAATTTCTGTCCAGGAGTTTGCCATTGCTTTCTGGCACTTAGCTCTTGATACCAATTTCAAAACTAATGCAAGGCATTCGCAGCGCTGAAGCCACAGAGGCTGACAACAGTTAACTAATAACAAAAATAAAAACAAATGTAGCTAGCAGTTTGTTAAATCCAATGTCACAAAATTACAATTTTTTCAGCTAAAGCGGTCCTTATGTCTGCCTCTGCCAAGAGGTGAAAACATCTGAAATAAATGGCGTGTACAAACAGCATTAAAAGTCTCTGGTTAAGCACCAGCCAGGAAGTCAAAATTAAAATTTTGAGAGCAGGCATCTTCCCTGTAGCAACATACGGATGTGAGTTGTGGACAATCAACCAGTCCTTGAGTAAGAAAATTGCAGCTTTTGACCTGAAATGCTGTGGAAAGATTCTTAAAATACCATGGACAGAGAAGAGAAGAAATACTAGCATTTTAAAAGATCTTAATGTCAAGGAAAATTGGCTAACAAAAACAGCATCTTGTCTCGGAAGATGAAATATTCTTATTCTGGTCATATCAAGTGCCAACGGGGATTGAAATAAATAGCAGAAGGCATTGTACCAGGAAGGAGGAGCAGGGGCCGACCAACATGAAGATGGGCACAGGATTTAAGTGGCTTCTTGAATAAGTACACGAGGTGGGAGGGCTGACCTAGTGTCTTACAGGTATACCATGATGACAGCAACATTCTGCAAAGGACCTGCTACACAATGAAGCAAAGTCTTGCTCATAGCCCCCTGGTTGGAGTACACTGCTTCAGAGTACTGGGTCTTTACCAAGCATTTTAG